TTTCTTCATTATGTTTAGGAAACCTTCTATGAATTCCTCATTTAAATTAAATCTTCCAATCTTCAAAACTTTAGGAAATGCATTTAATGCGTAATATCTCTGTTCTTCTGGTGGAATTGATGTTATATCATCCGTTATACCTTTAATTTTAGAATTCATAAATAAATTTCTTTTATATTTGATATCACCGCACCACCTTTGCAAACGAATTCGAAATGTTCATTTTTCAATACTATCTCCAAATCTCCATATTTCAACCTTTGCGTTTGTTCTGCCGTCTTTGAATTATATGCATATATGGCGTATGTAATGGTCTGAAGGACCTGGGTGTTTTGCGCCTTAAGTTGTTGTGGTTGCTGTTGTTTAATCATTTATTATGATTTAAAAATAAATATTTAATCCGTTATCTCATCAGCTATTTTCTCTATTTGAAATTGCCATAATATTTCATTCATGAATTCTAAATCACAATCAAATAGGTCAGTTATTCTAAATTTAATATTTGATAAATCTTTTGAATGAAGAATAAATGAATTCCCAGATAATTGAAACGGATATGATAAAGAAAATGTGTTTAAGTTGATGGATAAAATGTTTTGTATTGATGGGTAAGAGTTAGGGGTCTAATGTTTGATGTGAAAATCTCATTGGGGTATTAACTTTATCACATTTGATTAAAATGAAATTGGAACCGGTGTCAGAATACAAAACATCCCCAACATCTTTTTCAAAATTTAATATCCCAACAATGAACGAAGATGAGGAGTACAAATTTAATTTTCAGCGGAAATTTAATAAGGTTATTTATTTCATCAAGTTCAAAAAGTTTATCAGGTTTTGATTTAAAATTTTCTTCATACCATACGATAAATGATTCATTTAAATAACTTAAAATCATGTTAATATCCCATTTCGTTATCACATTATTTATATACATATCATACGTTTTTTCATGTCATCTTTAATAAATGATATATAATCTGAAGGGTCTAAAAGAATGGGATTAAATTTACCACTCACAGAAACGAGAGTAACATTATAAATTCCGCTAACTGTTAAATTTAATTCACAGCTATTATTCGAAATAATATTGATAATTGACATTTTTATTACGATTAAAAATATGGTAAAGCGTTATTTTCCAGTGATAAATAAAACTAGAATAAGATTACCTCAAGAATTCATAAATTCAACGAATAAGAAATTCATTCATGTTATAATTTTAGTGTTTTCAGAAAATATGAGTCAATGTCATATTCATCAACAGGTTATATTTCACTTCATTCAAATTTAGTTCAATCAAACCATATAATGACCATTTCATAAGATTTTCAGATGGTATTAAAAATGTAATTGATAGATTAAAATATGAACAGATTGACAATATCGAATTTTTGGAATTTTGGTTTAAAATATCCCGATGGAAAAAAGATTGAAGTTAAAGATAAAGCTGATACTATAACAAAAACAATTACAATGACCGATCCAGATAGTGGGGAACAAAAAGAAATAAAACAAACGATAGAAACTGGTGAAAGGTCAATTATTATTGATTATGATTCAAAGGATTATTATTCAATAATGTTAATGCTTGAATATTAAATAGCCTTAACAAAGAATTTTTCAAGTGATATTTTATATTCATCAACTATTTTATTATAAATATCATTATATGTTAAATGAAGTTCAGTTGTTGTTCCGTTCTTTGATATCTTAATTGTGCTAATATCCTTTATAGGATTTATTTTTGCAACTGTTCCGCAGCATGAAACCTCATCATCTATGAAAAATTGAATCTTAACGTCTGAATCTTGAACATCACAAAGAATGGCGATAATGTGAATTAATGATTCATAAGGTAAAATAATTAAACCGGATTGATCAATTAAATTTATTATTGAATCATAATTATTAATTATTATATCACGGTAAATTTTCATTAATTCAGAATTAATGTCTATTTTATATGGGTTCTCGATGTTTGATGAAAGAGGTGGGGGGTATGTTGGATAAGTGGGAATTTCAACAGGTTCTTTACCGGGTTCAGATAAAATGATTGGTCTCCATCTTCTTTATTTTGCTCCTCCTCATTCTTCGGTAAGTCACGAGTTAATAAATTTGGTTGAGTTGCCGACCTTGTTAATTCGGGGCTAACATTAACTTTAACATTTTGAATAATTCGTGATTTTATCATCATTTACGTTATAACCAACCGTAATCTCTGCTTTTGCGTTAGTGTTCTTTTGACTAGTGAAACGTCTTCTCATTTATAATCGAATAAAAAATATATTTTAAACTTTTATTTTGCTGGAACTTTTGAATCTATTATTCCCTGTATTTGTTCATGAAGTTGTTTTTAGCATTTTCATCGAAATTAATAGACCGAATATATTCATTAATTGCATTCTTATAATCATCTGCTTTCTCAAATTTTCTTTTATCTGATTCCTTAACTAAATCATAAGTTAAACCTCGTTGCTGATATAATGGTTTCTTAATTAAATCTTTGAATGCTTGAGATAAAGCACCTGATGCAATTCTTGCTACTATAATTGGTTGGAATTGCTGTTTAAGTTCATCTTTAACATTTGCGAAAACTGGATCGAATAAAGCAACTTTAAAGAATTTCTTAGCTGAAATTTCAGGTCTAATATTTGCATATTGACCATCAAACTGGTTAGAATATCGTGGTAATCCATCCGGTCCCTCTTGAATAGCATTTAATTCTTCATTGAAATAAGAATATGGATTATGACGGTATGAATTTAATTGGACCATTTTCACCTTCTCCAATGTATTGTTTAACAGCTTTTCCATTTTCATCAAATTGCATAGGATAACGTTCATTATATGCTTTACGTTTAGGATAATCAGACATAGTTAATTTATAACCATTTATGACTTTAATATTACCTTGACCATCAGTAACGAAAACTTCATTTATACCATCAGGTTTTCCATTTGGACCTGTAATGTCTGCTTCGTGTGCTTCCCAATTTGGACCTTTGCGTTTGGCATATGCTTGAGCTTCTGGTAATGTTAAAACGTTTCTCATTTGTTTAACATCTTTTTGAAGACCAGCAACAATATGAACTAATTCTTTCATTCCATCAGGAACTTTCATAGTTCTATTATATGCGCCCTTTTTGTTTGTTCCTTGTTTTAATGGAACCTGTAGAAGATTTGCCATTTCTGTCATGTTTAATTATAATAAAAAATAAAAAATTAATTATAAAAAGTTAATCAAATTTAACACTTCCTTTATTTAAATCAACTATTATTTTTCCATGTTCACCTAATTGCTGATATTGTGGTAAAGTTCATTAATGCTCATTGGTAAATTCACTTGATAAAGCATAACGTTCAACTGTTGACGACTAAACCCACTGAAAATGAAAAGGGTTGATAGATTTGATTTAATGTTTGTGCTTAATGCTTTGAAGTATTGAACAGCCATGAAGAATGAACACTGAATGTGTCGACATTGAGTTAATAACTGATTAAAATATGATTTCTATTTGTTATTAGTTTTGATTTCACTGCATCATCTAGAAAAATGAGTGAATGCAAAAATTCTCTATCAAAATTTGAAATAGAAAGTGTTTCAAATAATTCATCCGTTGTTTATCAATAATTTTATCCTCTAATCCTTGCTTCTTGATTGTATTATATAATTCTTTATATACATTAAAAAGTTTTTAAATAATCTTCTGCTTCTTCTTGTGATAATAAATAATTGGAATTTTGATTAAATGCTTTAAAGATTCAAATGTATCATCTGAAGGTGAACCTGAACGGTTGATATAAATTAACACATGTGAATGGGGGAAGTGTTAGCAATAATGATAATTTGTTTTAATATCGTTAATGTTTTACCTTTTATTTTGTTTACCAATTGCTGCAGTGATTGAATTTAAGTAACATTCAGAATATGGAATTTTTCATTAATTTTTCCTTAGATAGAGCATTTCTATTATCACTCATGCTTCATTAATCATATCATCTACGTATGTATTATATACTCTGCTAATTCTTCATAAGGAGTGGATGAATTTAAATCCATTTAATCAAAAATAAATTTATAATTTTAAACATTTCTATTCATCAATATTTCATCATGAACTTCTATACTGCGGTGGTGTACCTGTTGGATGATATTTCAAACCTTCATCCGGTGTCCATGTCCAATACGTAGTCCTAGTAAACCAAACCTGAGGAGGATTTGTCCTTTTGAACAGTAAGTGTCATTTTCACCCTGATGGATTGGATAAGCTTTCACTTGTACTGTAACTTGTGAGTTGAAAGTTTCTAATCCATCAAAGAATATACCCGCTCCATCACGTTGAACTGGAATAGTGCATAAGAATGAAGTTTGGTCTTTCATGTTCTAGCTAATGGCGTGCCATTATCATCATTCAGTGGTCTAGTTAATGAGTCCTCGTATTCTTCTGTGCATTCATTCACTCCATCTAAATCAGAAGCTTGAAGCATACGTGTAAAGAATATGTCACCCACTGTGGTCATCGCTTGATCGGGGAAGTTTCTGGAATCTATAGTGACTGAAGACCTCGAAGCATTGGATTTTCTAAAACTGTTCTTTGCATTGCATTCTTCGGAAATGTTAACACAACATCTGTAACATTATGAAGAGCGTATGAGAAATCTGAGCTAATACCTTCAGGAGTGATGCAACCTCCATTTAGTGAACGAACGTCAATATGTTGAGCTGGAATCATGAATGGATCTTCCTTACTGAATAAACGTGGTATTGCTTTAACTGATTCTTCAATTAAACCGTATCCTGGTGTAATGCATTTATCCTCTAAAACTTCCATCTTTGTGCATGAAATAATAACGTTATCAACTGTTGCGTCAGCAGATGTAGCGGCTAAGCTTGTAATTAATTTGGCAGGAAGTCCGATTTGTTGGAATTTGCGATCATATTTATAAACATGATTCATAATCTTTTCATAATTTTCATCAGTTATCTTTTCATAAACGTAATTTTGTAAATCAGCAACTCTTAACGGGTCAACCTGACAAAATACTAAAGTATCCCTGAAAACATAATATTTAAGAATGATTTCACCAAATGATTTAGGATAATCATCGAACGCCTGAAATGCTAACAAATCATTTACCGGAATAATCATATCAAAAGTGATATCAACTTCTTCATTTGCGTTCTTGAAAACTTCTGAAGGGTCAATATATTTACCACATACTGAGTTATCATATTTTTGAACATTATTATATAACGAATGAACAAACTTTTTAACTTTCCTTTCTGATTTTGGTTTATATGTTGCAAATGCGAAAGATTCACGGGCGCAATCCATTTGAAGATAACCGGCATCACCTCTTTCGGTTTCTACTTCTAATTGTTTAAAGCTTTGATTTGATGATTTGTAACCAACGAATAAACGCATGCATTTAAAAGCGGCATCACATGTGAAAGCTTTATTTGAAACTAGAGTTGCTTTAACTTTGCGTTTAATATATGTGTCACCTAATTGGTTCACATCATGAGCCGGATTTGTAATTCTTAAATGAGTTTGTTTATCATCAAAATATGGAGCATCAGAGTCATAGCATGAACTTTCAAGTTCTCTATAATATCTTCTACCGTCATTCTTTGCGAATATTTCATTTATCTTTTCGAATGAATGAAACACATTTCCATTAATCGGTTTAGTGTTTGGCACTAAATAGTTAGTCGTCATTTATTATTAAATAAAAAATCAAAATTAAAAGATGAAAATGAATTTTTAATTTTAATGAAATAATCAACTATGGCTGCAGGATATTTTAAAAAATGTGGGATAAAGTAAAAAGAGGAGCGCATAAAGTTTGGGAAACAATGAAGAAAGGAGCAAATTGGATATTTAAGAATAAAAAGCAATTAGTGACGTTGCTGAATCAATAACACCAAAAGCTGCCCCAATAAGAGAAATATTAAATAAAGGAGAAAAAGTTTATCAAAGACTTCAACCGATACTAAGATAAAAAATATTTATTTTTCCACTATCTACCTCCTATTTTATTAAGTATTCCTTCAGCAATTCCACCAACTGCGTTACCTGCTTGTGCTCCCATCGCCGGATTACCTGCTTTAGTACCTAATACTCCACCTATGATAGTTCCTGCCGTTTTCGCTACTGGTGCCAAAAAGTTTGCAACGGGTTTAATAATCTTTTTATAAACCCAACCCGCAGCTTTCTTAATTCCATCCCATAATTTTTTAAAGAATCCTGCCGCCATTTCTGATTTAATATTAATTAAAAAATATATTTCATCACTTATATTCTAATTTTTATTTAATGATAAATGAAACCGATTTTAAAAATAAATGAAACAGAGGAGGAAGAAATTAATGAGTGTCATGTTCAACAAAAAATAAACGTTGTTAAACCAATTACTGAAATAAAATTTTTTTCATCTGTTGAAGAATTTAATGACTATTATGCTAACAATAAAAAATTATTTGAAGAATTGACAACGTGTAAATTGAATAAAATGTTTAAAGTTGATGGATTCAAAATTTCAAAAATAAAAGGGGTGATTAGTTTGAAATCTATTCCTCAATCAAGAATCACCTCATTAATGAAAATTGATGATTTAACAAAAAGAATAGAAGAGATTGAAGAAAGAATGAATCAAATAATTGATTTCATAAATTCAAATAATCATTAGTTTCTTAAAGTTCTATGTTGATTCTGAGACATTAATTTTTAAAGTTTATTTTTTCATTTTTTTATTTCATTAGCTTATTTTGGCTTTCATATTCATTTAATAATTCACAATCTTCATTTTTAAATTGAAGTTTAACCCATTCATGATTTAAACAATGTTTAATTAATCGCGGAATATCTGACATCATCTATATATAACTTCTTTTATAAAAGATGAAATAAATTATTTTAAAATTAATGTTAATTTTTTAATGTGTTTAGTATATAATATTTATTACTAATTTATTTAATAATGTCGCGCTTTCTTACGAATTAAAAAAATAAATTATTCAAAAATGTAAGACATGAATTTTTAAAGTTTATTTTATTCATGAAAATAATTATTTCTAATTTCTTTTACTCTCTCGTACATACTAGATTTAAAGAATTCAGAACTTTTACCATAATCTCCTAAATGTTTTCTTATCTTATTGGTTTTCCATTCATTATATGAAACTGTATAAACTTTATCTTTATCTTTGCATCTTTCATCACTTCCAATATATTTATATTTCAATTTTGATTTATTGGTTTCATATTCATTAACGTTTAATAATTCACAATCTTCCTTTTTAAATAAATGTTTTATGTATTCAGGATTAACAATTCTATAATATTGCTTCCCTTTAAATCTTTGAATATAAACAGGAACACCATCCTCTAAAATTCGATAATCTATTTTATCTGGTTTTACTTGTTGGGTCATTTATGTAAGAATAAAAAAATAACTTTAATTTAAAAATAATATGTTAAAAAAATGATACAAAATCGCTCGATATTGTATGAATTCTTACGTTTACAAAAAAAGTCACACAACCCATCCTATCCTACTACTGTCATGAAACTTTACGCGCATTCTATGATCGAAGAAAATTTTTACTATGCATTTGTGGAACACGCTGGGTGGCTGATAAATTAATAATTTCGATGGGAATTGTTTCTTTTTGTTAAGAATATTTGATGATATTTAGCCACACAAGTTATATTTCTATCTCGATTAATCAATTTGTTATAGATCACCAGTAATTAATCGTTAAAAATTAGAAATTTAAGATATTATTACAAAATTATTTGAGAACTCTCATTTCAACGAATTTTTTGTATTGTTAATAGCATAACATATTATTATAAAGCTTATGTATTTTTTGCTTTTTCCGAAAAACCAGTATTTTCTTCAGAAAAACTACAATTTTTAACTTATTTTGAACTTTTTTAAATTTTTAAAATATTTTTTAATGCCGTTTCTGTTTTATCTCGCCCTTATAGAAGCCCGAGAGAAGAGAAAAGCAGAAAATTCTGAAATTTTACATGAAATCAATGCGTCTACAGTGGATTTATTAGTTCCTTCTTATATCACAGTAATCGAAAAAGGTGCATCTATGAATGCGACACTATTAACATCAGTTAAATTTGAACCATTTTCTTCTCTTACAAGAATTGGTAAATACGCATTTGCTAATTGCCCTAGAATTAGAACAATTGATTTATCTCTTTGCAATAACTTATGGATAATTCAAGAAGGAGCATTCTTTAATTCTAGCCTAGAAATTGTAACACTACCATCATCACTTAAATACATTGAAAATTCAGTTTTTGAATTATCAAATATTTCACAAATCGAGATCCCACGAAGTGTTATAGTAATTGGTGAGAAATGCTTCTTTAAATCATCATTACAACAAATAACATTCCAAAAACATTCTTTATTAAGTGAAATTGGTCCGAATTCGTTTGCTGAAACATTTTTATTTTCTATAACATTACCAGATAATCTTAAAAATATAGGGTATTCAGCTTTTACACGTTCTCAACTCCATTCAATAAGTTTTGAAACAAAAAGTAATTATTTCGAAATAAACAATAAAATGATTATCAGATCCCAGACAAAACAACTAGTTGCATCGTTTTATTACGAACAAGAAAGCATTACAATTCCAGACGGAATTACTGAGATTTCTAAAGGAGGATTTTTACTTTCTCCCATAGAAGACTGTAAATTCCCATCGTCTTTACTCTACATTCGTGAAAGAGCCTTCGCAGTTTCACAATTAGTCAATCTTACGATTCCAAGTTCTGTAAAACTTATTGATAAGTACGCATTTCATAATTGCTACCAGCTGAGATCTCTTGTTATTGAGTCAGAGAATACGGTTCTTGCTGATAATTGTTTTGGAAGTAATTTCCAATTATGCGGCATTAACTGCCCTATAAAAATGATAGATAGACTAATGAAAGTTGGTATACAACCTTTTTCATTTCAGAAATGCATATCAAAGATTTCAGAGAAAAATATGAGTTAAATTTTATTCTTATCTCTGCCAAATGTGATAAGCATGTCGCAATTGCCAAAAGGTGGTAAGCGCACCCTTAAAGTTATTATACAAATTATTCGACCTCTCAATTTCGATCTGCTCATTGGTGCATCACACCCGTAACTAAATTTAATATCATGTAAACCTCAGAAATTTTTGAAATGTCAAAATTTAGAAAACTTGGAGTTCGAATCAAGTCAAACTCAAGTACATTGATGTGGTCAATATGTATTTCAGGTATATATTATTTGAACACACGATAGTCTTACACATATCAATGAAATCGAGTCGAATAATACGAGCAGCTCCGTTTCCAGAAAATAAATCGTCTGCTTCATCAAGGGGAATTGGCATGCTCTGATCTCCGCTAATGAATTGGATATTGGTGAAGAAAATGCCCGAAGGATGGCGATTAGTATTGTTTATAGTTCCGTCGTAATTGTAGCTGACGCAGGATGTTGATCCGCTTGCGTAAGAGCTACCTCCACCGCCACCAGCTGCGCTTCCTAGGCTTTGATTGCGTTGAATAAATCCAGCTTCACCGCCTTTTCCGCCGTAATAGCCACCTCCTCCACAGCCACCTCCTTCATCACCGTTACCACCTTTGCCGCCATCTAGAAAGGCATTTCCGGAGGTTTGGGTACCACCTTGACCTCCGAAAACCGTATTTTTTCGGTTATTATTGCCATTTGTACCGTTCAGACCGGCGTGGCCACCATTACCGCTCTCTGTGTAGCACCCACCACCACCTCCGCCTCCTGCGACCATTATACGGAGTTGGTAAGGGTATCTCGCTCGGTAATCTTCAATTCTCATGTCCGTTCCACCGCCCCCGCCGCCACCAGGGCAGTCATTATTTACATTATCTGTACCGCGACTTCCTCCTCCATTAAAAGAGGTTGCTTCTCTATTTTCATTGCCGTCTTTTCCTTTTTCACCGAGAAAGAAGGCAAATTTTTGACTTGATGTTAAATTAAGGATTCCGTATACATAGGCACCATTGCCCCCGATGCTGTTGGTTATATAGGTTCCGCGCCCACCGCGCGCTCCCCATAATTCAATTTGATAATCTCCTCTTGGTAAATTGACGGAGTAATTTCCGCCATTTTTACTGTATAGGACTAAACACCTGTTGATGCCAAATGAAAAACTTTGTGGTTTGGTAACAACACCACAGAAATCATTAATCTTATTGAGCGAAAAATTGAGTTATCGGAATATAATTGTTAAATCTGATTAAAATCCCATTAGCATATAAATAGTACCTATTTAGTCTTAAAATCGCTCATTGCTCTGAACTTTTTTTCTGTGCAATTCAATTTCTGAGGGATTCAAAGTGAAAATTGTAGAATAATGCAAGCAATACAGTGCCTAGTAAATTCTATTGTATTTAAAACCGAAATGAATCCGACATTTCTCTTTCAAAATTTGTCGGATCTGCCAAACAAAATTTGATGTTTTTGATTCGGTGTTACAATAATTGCATGATCATCATGTGTGTGTAATTGTGTTTGAACCAAAAAATCTCAGATGTGAATTTCCACCAAATTTATTTTTGAAAGGAATTGTCAAGATATAGGTTTCATTAATAGCTTCAGGAAAGCCAAAGAAAATGGTGGATGGATAAATGAGTGTTTCGTTTTGGGAAATATCACAATTCCACGATTTCAGTCTTCTAACTCGTTCATTTATGAATTTCTATCAATATCTTCTTAAAGGAGTTTCACATTCTCCTTTTCATGTATTTAATGCGGAATTACATTAGAAACAAGTAAAATAATATATGTTTAAATTTTTACTCGACAATTATTGTCAAAATCACATTTGCAACTAAGCAAACTACCATATTTTGGGATAAAACTGGCGTTAAAACAAGACAAGTAGTGTAGTGGATGTTTCTTGCTTTATTTTCTCAGCCTTTTTATTTTCCATTTGAAGAAATGTCAAAATCCAGTTTTTACTCATAGGAATAGAAATTGATACATATATTTTGTCTGTAACTAATCTTTAGTTATCAAGAATTCAATTTGATGTTTCGTTTTGATAACCAAAAGGTATTTATCCCCTATCATACAAGCTCTATGAATCTTATTTGTATTTATCTCAGGAAATCACACATTTTTCTAATCGATTCGATTATATTGACGTCAAAATTTTGTCACTTTTTAAAATATCTCCGATTTTTCTTGAAATATTCTCATTGACGAATGCTTCTCTTTCTCTCTATTTTGCAATATAGCACAATAGACATTACAAATGAGAATGAAGCAGATATTTTTTCAGGAAAAATATCCAAAACGCCTTTATTTGTAGAATTTTATTCTCCTTGGTGCCATCATTGCAGCGATTTCTACCCAACATGGCAAAAACTTGTCAACATATCTGAATTGAATACAAAAATTCAGTTTGCTAGAGTTGATTGTCCACAATATTCAAAAATATGCGATAAACATAATATTAACGGATATCCTACAATGGTATGGTATAACCTTAAAGAAAACATAAGCGTAAGATACACAGGATTAAATCAAATTCCATTTCTCCAAAATTTTTTGGAGCGACAACTGAAATTCCCAATACAATTCATTGAAACAGAAACAGATATAAATAAATACTTACATAAAACCAACAGATCATCAATATTCCTTTTGAATTATAATGACGACAATATTTTAGCGAACTTCCGAGCTATCGTATTAGATTTTAGAGCTACAAATGCACTATTTTTCGCATACAATTCAACCAACCAATCATTACATGTATATCGTGAAAAAGATTCTTATATTTCATATGAAGGTAATTGGTCGAACAATTCTTTAGCAGAATTCATAAATGATAACATAAATCCGTTACTTATGCCGTTTAATAATGACGAATTCGAAAAAAGTGAAAAAAATGGAACCTTTGTTGTTCTCTTTTTCCTAAACAGTAGCCAACAACACTATGATTTCACAAAAATAGTCAAAAAACTTCCAGCAAATTACACTTATTGTTATCTCGAAAATACTGATGATTATCTTGCCAAATTCATGTCAATTTCTAAAAAGATGGTCCCATGCATTGTAATTATGAATGCAAAGAGGAATATATGGAGAGTTTACAGAGGCGAATTTAGAAGTGACTTAATTTCAAATTGGATTCAACTTAAGGACGTCAAATGGCTTGGACCAGGTGATGGACGATTGTCTGACTTTTGGATTCAAGTTTACAGCTTGAAAGCCCAAAGTATGTTTATATTTGTTTTCATTTGCATCCTTTTACTAATAGCGATCAGCTTAATTGTTTTTGTGATCGCAAGCTTAATTCATGATTACCTATCAATCCCTTTAAAAAATGAATAAATTGTTTAGTATCTTTTTTATATTAAAAAAACACCTTTTTTTCATATCTACTATTAAATTTGAGCACAGCTCCACACAAAACTTTACTAAATTCATATTGTATGAATCAATTGATATGAGAAGTAGATGCATGCTTTTAAATCATTCCGTGTAAACTATTCATTTTCATTCAATTTTTGTCATTAAACGGATTGAATAATATACAATATTTACAATGAGTGAAGAGAATGTTAAAGTTTTTTGTTATGTACGCGGTAAAGTACAAAATGTAATGTTTAGACAAACTTTAATGCGTGCTGCCTTGAAGAGGGGCGTAGTTGCAGGCGCTACAAACAACAAAAAAGATAGAAACCGTGTGGATATAGCATTAGAAGGACCAGCAAGCAAAGTAACTGAAATTACAGAAGGTCTTAAATCAGGAAAGAAACTCAATTCATGGAATGCTCATGCAACAGAATTCCATATATTAGAAACTGGAAAGGCTGCATTAGAGCATGAAGTAAATACTTCAAATGTTGACAATATAAAGTGGAAACAAGGCGTAGAATTTTATCTTTGAAGCAAAAATTTGTTGGTCACTATATCCCTACGAGTAAAATGCATCTTTAAAAGATGTCTTTTATAAATTTCATTCGCTTACGGTTTTTAAAATAAAACATACTCATAGATCTTTTGAAAATCCATTTTTTTATTTTGAAATTTTTACGAGTTGCCAACGAAAACTTAAATAATCAAAAATACCAATGTTCATTTGAATAAGATTTAAATAAGCTCATAAAAAGGTGTAAGTAAAATGACTTTCTGAATTTTTTGAGCTCTTTCAATTTATTTGTGAAGAAAAAACGAACATTTAATTACCATTCATAATGTCAATAAGCAAGTTATTAATTTCAAGTCCGTGTAATCAAATTGTCACTTTTCAATATTTTAAGGTCAATGATTCCTTGGCTATCAGCCGAAGAATTATTGAAATATAATGCACACAAGAAGGTTGCCGTAACAGCAACTGTTGCGGGTGACCAGGAGTATCAAAGAGAATTATTGATATTTCAGAAAGAATATCTTGACAATTTCATGGATAAAGAATATTCACAAATTTCAGAATCTTATGAAAAGCAAATGGATAAATACAACGAAAATATAAAAACAACTATTACTAGCATAGTTCAAGATTTAGAATCAAAAAGTCTTACATTCGTAACCGATTCTCAAATTGGAATGAACAATTTCGTTGATTCCATAGAAGCTGATGTTAAAAAGACAGAATCTAAGATCAAATCAGAAATAACGTGTTTTAAGAATGAATTATCATTACTGACAAACGAATTAACTGTACAGATGGCTTCATTCGCACAAGGCGTAGCTGAGGATATAAAGCAGAAATGCTTCGATATCAAAGTCCGTCACCTTCAAGAAATCGCAGAAATTGACCAAAATACTGACAAAAAGATAATGGAAGCTTCTGCATATAAAGAAAACCAAGATGAGTCAAACCAACGTAAACAGTACGAAGCAATGGTCGCAGATTTAAGATCAAAATTTAATTCATACCCTATGGATAAAAAACAGAAAGAAGCCGTCATAGAACTCCACAACAGACTAGAAAACATGAAGGAAGAACTCAACAAGCTCAAAACTAAACTTTTTAACTCAATGACGATTGTAAGTTCAAATATCTTAGGATTTAAGAAAAGAGCACACCACGCGATAGATGATTATAAAACATCGATATTCGAAGCTACTGAAAATGAGAAAAAAGCTTCAATTGAATTAAATAATTACGATGTAAACACAAATCGAGAAATTGAAGAGCTAAAATATGCTCAAACACTTGCAGAAGATGATTTTCAAACAATTTATAACGATTTGCAGGTTGAAAGGAAAGAAAACAAAGCAACTTACGATGATTCAGTTGATCAAATAACAAAATTGGATCAAACAGATGCAGAAGTAATAAATTATCTTGAAAATCTCAAGACAAGCTTCATTGATGATGAAAAAGATACAAGAGATGCATTTAGTAAGCTTCAACAGTCAATTTCAGAAAAAATAGAGAGTTTGACAGAAAAACTATCAACAAATAAAGAAAAATTTGCTGATGAAATAGAAAAACTTAATTCTGACCATGAAAATTCAAAAGAAAAATTTTCAACTGAGAATGATTTGATTGAATTTCAAAATGAATCCGAAATAACAGCAGAAAACAAGGATTTTGCAGAAAAGAATGAAAAATTACAGCCACTTCTGCTTGACTTTCGTGAAAGATTTGCAAAATATCAAAATTTATCGGCGATTAAACAAGATCTCGATAATCAACTAAATGATGCTAAGACATACTTTGAAAGACTACCTCCCGAAGAGCCATATGATACAAAACCTTTCCAAGAAATATTTGAGAAAAATATTCAAGCGAACAATGCTGAAGAAAACGACATCGTTATTTCCAATGATGCACAAATCAATGCAGTGCTATCAGATTATCAGTTACAGATGACAAAAATCAAAAATAAATATTTAGAATTACAAGAAGAGGCGTTCAAAGAAATCCAAGAGAAGTTTAAAGGAATTCCTGATTATGCAACTATTGATCTTGAAACTCAGTTCGCTAACCTTGAAAAAGAGTTCAAATCAATAATTATTGGAGACACAACAGTTTTAGAAGCCAGAAAGAAGGAATTACAAGAACTTCGTACACAAAAAAGCCAAGTTTCAAATGCAATTGCTAATGAAAAAGCGTCAATTATAAGAAATTTCAGAAATGAGATGATAACTGAGGATGATCGCCATCAAAAAGCCCTTTTGAACAACTTAGGAATGGATTATAGCGATGATCAAAAGTTAATTGATATGAGATCAAGTTTTGAGAAAAGAATGAAACCTCTTGAAGAAGAAGAACAGAAATTAACTAAAGAGTGGGCATCTTTGCAACCAAAGAAGTCTAGAGATAGTTCTTGCCTTGTTGATCTTACAACTGATAACGAAATTTTTGAAATGACAGAAGAAATGAAAAGATTGAAGTTAGAAGGCGATGAAAAGATCTCACAGAAGAACTTAGAAGTTCAATTATCGATATCTAATGCTAAAGAAGAGAATGCAAAGCTATTAAAACAATTTGAAGAAGATAATCAAAATGAAATCAATAAATTAAAGGAGAATAAAGTCAAGCGAGAACAAAGCATTAAATCTCTCCAAGAAAACTTGAGCAAGGCCGATGACGTGGCCAGCCAACGCATTGCTGTATATGTTAAAGATTATGAATTGGCAAAATCGATGATGATTCAGCAAAATGAAGAGAAAAAGAAATCCATCAATGATCTTATTGCTGGATTTAAGACATCTACATATAATTCGAGGTTAGAATTTGAACAAAAATTTTCAGAAGCTCACCACTCGTTAGAAGAAAACGCCTTCAATTTTTCAACGCAACTTGAAAACATGGCATCGGAATTCAGATCAAAAAGAGATGATTTCGTTCATAGATTCGACAATGAAATTGAAATGAGAAAGAAAAACATAGAGATATTGAAAGAGAAGTATAAGAACAGACCACTTGGACCAAAAGAAAAGGAGTCACTTGATAATTTAAGCCAAAAGAAGCAATATCTTGAAAAACTCTCTAATTTAGAGAAGAAAACCTATAAAAAGTATGTAGTTTTAGGAACAACTCAAGAATCTGAGTTTAATGAAAGATTTGGCAACACATTGAATGTCGGCCAAATTGTTCAACCAAATGTTAGGAAAAGGAGCAGCTTGGAGCTGAAGAAATCTCCTGTAAGTATTCCGCGGTAATTAATATTAGTAAATGTTTGTATTTTTTTTGTAATTTTTTGAATTTAATTGTTGATTTCAGATCAAATAATACCCGAGCCGATAAGTTTATCATGAGTTCGCAAAGAGTATCATTTTTACAGTTCAAATCTTAATATATATTGAATGAAATTTTGACTTTAAGCAATGTGACCTAGGAAAACAAAATCAACTCAGTAAGCAATGCTTATTTTCCTTCAACGGACATATGATTCCAGGATTTTTTTACCTCAATTTCTTCGTCGGAAAATTGGAACCCCTATATTCTGACTCTAATCAGTTGTTTTAACTATTTGGAAAGCAAAGGTGTTCTCATTTAATACAGGATTCAGTTAAAAAAAAATCATATCATCTCATTTCTCGTTTCAGAAAAAGTGCCACCCGACGAGAGAAATTAATTTTGTATTCAAAAAATGTTTCTTTTTTTCAAACAATGTTTAATTATTCACAAAAATAATTTTTCAACGAAAAAGATTTCTGAAAAATGAATCAGAATGACGTTAACATAGGAACAAAATTACTACCAATATCTGTAATGTATTAGATTTCAACATGAACTTTTACTTTGAAATCTATCGGCCTCTCAAAAATTGCTGTATTGGTTATGACTTCCAGCTATTACCAATACACTACAGATGATAACCAATACTATTACTACAAGATTGATGATGGCTCAACTACATTCGACTTTCCCTATGAGTCAACGATTTATGACCCAGATACGTCCACTTTAGTTTATGCACCAGGAAATCCTGTTCCGCCATATGCTAAACGCGGCGGCAGGCCATTTAATGTCGAGCCGATCAAAACTGCCCAGGCGGAAGCCCCATCTAATAACGAAGTTGACCCGAAAGTCTTTAATTCAGTAGGAAATCCAACATCTCATGCTGGAAGATCAGAGCACAGAACTGGAAGAGGTCGAAAACACTCAAAACTTCACATTAATGTCCCTCCTCCTGAGCAACCAGATAGCGCTTTGACTCCTCCATCTAAAGCCAAAGCAAGATCAATATCATTACAACCAGAAGTTAAACAAAAGCAAGCCCCACAAATACGAGTCGACGTCTTCAACAAAGAAGCAATTTTGGACGAAATAACGAAATTTCACAGAATTGACGAAGCTTCTAAAGTAGTAAAATACAGAAAAATTGGCTTCCTCTTCAGCCGCAGGCCAATTACTACTGAAGAAATCATTCGTTTCCAAAATACTCCAATTACAGGTCCCCTTTTGAATGAAATACCAAAGGAAATGAAAAAGGAGCCTCTAAAATGCTTCGAAGCAATATTACAATACATAGGTCTCAAAAAATCGAACGTAAATCCCTCAGATAACTTGCAGTTTTTAATTTCAACTGCATACAAGAGCGAACTTCTCAGGGATGAAATATATTTCCAGATTGTCAAGCAGACATTCGAAAATCCAAACGACGAATGCAATAAGAAGACATGGCAATTATTATTACTTTTTACCTCTCTCTTTACGTCAAATCCTAACTTATCCAAGTATATTTCTGGCCACCTTGCTTCGAGCATGACATCGAACGATCTTCCAGAACAATGTCGACCATTCGCCGAATTATCCTACCTGAGATACAAGAGCCGCATGCTTATAGGCAAGTGCGCTAAAGATCCAGGCTCTATCGGCTACATTGACATCATGAACGACCCTTTCAAGAGTTCATCATGTTTTGCATGCTCAATCCAGGAATGTCTTTGGGTTCAGCGTAATATTAAGAAAGGTCCAAACTTCCCTACGACAAGGCGATGCCTCTACGCTCCGAAAGCACAGATTCCGATTATTTTACATCTTATGGCCGAACAAATCATTGCTAAAGGTGCAAAGAACATGGAAGGCATCTTCAGAGTTCCAGGATCCGGTGCTGTCATCGAAGAATCCATCGACAGAGTTAATGTTGACGCAGATTGCATCAAATCGATGCGACTTCACGATCTCTGCTCATTCTTCAAGCGCTGGTTCGCTTCTCTTCCTAAGAAGATCATTGACGACACGAAGTTCCAACCTTTCTTGGACATGATCAGATCCGAACAAGGAAAGAAAGAGGTAGAACCTGTTTTGAACCTTCTGGATCCATCAGACAGGATCTGCCTGCTGTACCTCGCAGGATTCCTCAGGGAACTTTCAGAAGCACAGGGAAAGACACAAATGGGTCCTTCGAACTTGGCTTTGGTGTTCTCTCCAAACATGTTTAACATGCCTCCTGATATGAAGATGGCAAAGGACTTGCAGGTCGAAGTCCAGGGATTTATCATCAGATTGATCAACGAAGCTGACGTTTCGAATATATATCCATATAAAGAAGAATAAAATTTGTTTTTGGATTCTTTTTTTTAAGAAAAAATAAAAAAAAGTTAAAGGTTTAGTTTAATCTAAAGTTAGTTTTTTTTATCAAAAAAAAAAACGTCATCAACTTTTTCCCCTCTCAAACAATGATTTTTTTATAAGCATATATGACTCAAAAATCGAATTATTTTTTTTCCAACCTACAGCGATCTTGGCGTCTGCACGGTTACCATAAACGTAGAAATGATATTATATTTGGTTTACTTGATTAGGAACATCATGCAATTGATTTTTCGTTTAGTAGGGCAGGGTTTTGGTTGTGGAGATTTTTAGCTGTAACTACTTAGTAATCTCATGCACATTAGAATTAATAGGATCGGCGTAGATTTACCTGTAATATAATGAGGGTAACAGCTCATATGTACAGATAGAGAAATCACTTTTCATTATTTTTGGACCTTTCAAATCAAATGGTATATATTGAAGCTCTCAATTTTAATCTCAAACTGCAGAATATAATTGTTTGTAAAACTATTTATTATGTTAAAGTAGAGAAATTTACTGCTTCAACAAATGAAGTTTTATATACTTTGTTAATAATAAAATTGATGTCTTTCAAATCTAATTCATCTTCTTTAAATTTTTTACGTGAATCCTTTTTATTTTTGTCTAAATTTGGAGGATTATAATAAAAATATGTAGCAGGGCAATAATATGTTGAATAATGAGATATATTGAAATCGAATGGTTGAATTGATTTAAAACTAACTGAATTATATCTTACAGTTTGAGTTACATTGTTTTCATTAAAGTAACAATTATCAACAATATTTGGTTTTACATCAAATAAATAGTTTCCTTTATTTCCTATGAATGAACAATTTAAAAATGTAGTTGAACTACTAGAACAAGAAATTATTGCATTATTACTTCCTGTTAATTCATTGTTTAAATAATTACATTTTGTAATATTAAATCTAGAATTGAATAGTGAACCAACTTCTGTAGATGATGTATTTGATGCTGTTGTGAAATTAATAATTCCTGTTTCTGTTGGATCTGTAATGACATATGCAGCATAAGTAGTAATTTTGTGATTAGATGTATTCATATTACTTACTTGGATATCTCCAAAAGCATGTTCAAAAGAAGCCCAATTTCCACTGCATTCTGAAACTGAACATTCAAATGCATAACTTTTGTTGTAACTATTAGATTCAATGTAATATCCACATCCAGATTTAGTACTTTTTGAAAGTAATATACAAATATGAACTAAGACACATTCAGATTCTTTGATAAAGAATGATCCACCATTTTCTGTGGAACTATTATTGTAAAATGTGCATGTTTCGAGTAATACTTTGCTGTTAGAATTAAGGTAAATTGCTGTTTTTTGGTAATGGAAAGAAAATACCGCATGATGAATGTAATAATTGCCATTTCCAGATATAGTTTCGTTCTCGTTTTTATTATTAGACTCAACTGTACCGTAATATTCTGAAAAACTTCTTTGAAGTGGTATAAAGTGCTTCTGAGTGACTGATTTTGTTTAATTCGCATTTCTGAGAATTTGTTCATGTGAATAATCTTGAAATAATTGTTAAATATAGTTTAGATGTGGCTATCCAATCAATTAGATTCCGAAATTTCCAAGCCAAACTTCATCTATCGTTATGCAAAATGAGAAAAAATCTTTATTTTTGTTTCATAAAAATAATTCCTATTTTTTTAAAGATTTTTCAGAGGATTGAGTCTTAGAATATGCATGAAGATCATCATATAGACGTCATGTATCGTTAACATGAAATAAATGTATTTTTTATTGAATTTGGTAATATCTAAAACATTTTGAAGTGATTCCGACATCACCCACACCTTAGTAATTTCATATTGCCTTAGATAACATTTAAATACAAAATAAACATTTAAATATAAAGCAAAACAAAATAAAACATTACGACTTTCTGACATCCTCTCAATTTTTTTGGTCGGAAAAAAGTTATTATAAATCATTATATTGTGGTTAAGATGAATCGATATTATGAGAGGATGTTAAAGCATAAGGAAATATAAAATTAACATTTAAATATCAAACAAAACAAATTAAAAAATTAAGCATAAGGAACCAAAGATCGGCAGTTAACAAATTTGTGTCTGCAGTAAGGACATCCAGAGTCCTGTTTGTACCATTCCAAGAAGCATTTCTTACAAATCAAGTGTCCGCAAGGTATCAGTATTGAGTCAGCTTCTTCTTCCATGCAGATTCCGCACAGTTTGTCTGTGGACATCGGATGAGGGATAATTGCTGTTTCGTAGTCGAGGTGACAGAGAGGACACTCTCCCTTCGGAGGACAGCATTCCCTGCAGAAACAGGCATGGCCACAAGAGTCAAACAAGTTCTGTGAACAGTCCTTTCCGCATTTGAAACAACGAGGAACTGGATCTTTTTCTAGATTTTCGATTCTGATGTCATCTGTGTTTTTAACATTGTTTATCATGAAATTCCTGCCTTGTAGTATAACTTTACTATCTTTTTCTAAAGATGAATCAGTCAAATTAATTGATCCTCCAAACCTTGTCCGAATTGATGCAATTTCAGCTTTTCCGATATCAAGATTCGATCCAATCAAATTTCCACCACAAAATACTTCAATTCCGACTTCGGTTGGTCCAATAATTTTAGAATCCGAAATATTAAACATTCCATTATCGAAAGAAGCAACACATGCATGCTTGCACCTCTTAAATATACAGTTTGTGCACTCTTCTATCTTCCCATCGCACGTTGCAAGTCCAAATCTTTCTGTACCGTCAAAAGAGCAGTTTTTAATGACCAAAGTTGATCCCCCACGACACATCACGCAACTACTTGGACTATTAACGAAGCTGCAGTTGGAAATTTCCATGTTTGAGACAATTGCCATGGAAATATGGGGATAAGTGGAATTTTCGAACGTACAATCACTGATTGTGCCATCACAATGTATAATATTGATGCAGTTACCGTCAATGTTCCTAAATTGACAATTATGAACTTCTAAATTTGAATCATTAATAAATAATGAAGTTTGCTTTGATGATTCGTATATACAATCGCGAACAAACAACTCTGAATCGTTAAAACATGAAATTTGAGTATCATTCGAATTTCTAAATGTAGTTTTTTGAACTGTCATCGTTCCTATATTAAGAATCGATGCAAGAGTAGATGTGTCGAATATACAATCGTCAATTACGCATAAAGAGCTTTCATGATTGAATATAAAAGATTCTTGGGTACTTAAGAAGTTACAGCGAACAAATTCTGCTTTAAAGTTATTGTGGATAACAGAGAGCTTGCAATTTTTGAAAACTGTATCAACACAATTAATACTTGATAAATTTTGGGTCAAAAGTGTATATTTTGAGATATTTTCAAATGTACACTTGCTGCAAGTAAGTAAAGATTGTAAATCTGCATCGATAATATATTCTACTTTAGTTATTTCGTTAGTAAATTTACAATTATTGAATTCAATGATACTTTGGAATGCTTTTATATAGCCATCGTAATTCATATTGGTAAACGTGATTGTGCATCCTATTATTTGAAGGCAATTACATACAACTTTTGTATTTTCTTCGAAAATTATTTGAATTGATTTGATAAATTCAGTTTTATCTGGTAATTCAACAAGCCCTGGACCTACTCGTATTGTTTCATTAGCTGGCGTCTCTGAAATAATTTTTAATAAGTCGATTTTTTGAACATCCATTGAAAATTTTTAATTTTTTTTTGTCTGGCCAGATAAATTTTATCATTTTTGTTTTTTTAAATCGATTGTTGTTTATAAATACATATTGAAAATATAAATGAATAGAATAATTTTAAAAAAAAATGATAAAAAAATACAACAAAAATTATTGATTTCTCAAACGTTTCTTCAAATCAGGATAATCTTTCTTGCGAATATAGTCGTATGGTGTCTTTCCAGCTTTGTCTTTTGCATCGATTTTAGCTCCTTTTACGATTAACATGTCGCAAATTTGGAAAGCTTTGTCTTGCTGAGATGGAGAAAGATTATGCTGGTTAACTAAGATGTGGAGTGGTGTTTGGCCTTGACTATCAGTCTTGTTCATGTCAACACCAAATGTAACAAGTGATTTAACAGAATTTATTGATAATGATTTCAATGATTTCTTGAGCAACTCGAAAATTTCTTTTTCGGAAAGTGTACGAAGAGGAAATTCACTTCCGATTTCTTGATCTTGTTCAATGTATTCTGTAGCTCTTTCAAGATAAGCTGCTTTAGTGACCTTCTTGATTGATTCATTATTTGTGATGTCGAATTCTGTTTTACCGCGAACTTTTGCGAATCTTGGTTTGTGAGATAACAAACATTTGACAATTTCTTCATTGTTCTCCTTGCAAGAGTTCAAAAGATGTGTGTATCCATGGAATAGTTTCTCATTGACATCACATCCATTTTGAATCAAGACGTCAATGATTGATGGATCGCCAATTCTCACAGCTTCTGACAAAGGCGACAAATTGTCTTTGGAAACAATGTTTAATTTAGCGCCGTGAGTGATTAACATTTGGATCTGATTGGCAGTTCCATGCTTGATGAATTCAATGATGATGGGGTTGGAGTTACCTGATTTGGCATTTACATCTGTTCTCTTATCATTCAAGAGAACTTGCAAATGCTGATCGAACTTTCCATCATGAGAAATTGTGTAATAAATTGGAGGATCATTATATCCATCTCCGAAATTAGGATCAGCGCCTCCATTCTTCAATAACTTCTCTAAGATACGTGGTTTGCATCTTCTAATAGCATAACCTAATAATGAATATGGTTTCTTGGCCTTTCTTAATGTGACATTTGTTGGTAATCCACCTCCAATTAAGAGCATTAATATTCTTGGAGATTTGATAGCATAGAAAGCGATTGGTTCTCCTTTGTAGTTTGTCTTTGCGAATGATCTCAAAGCTGTTGGATGTCTAGATAAGAAACCAATAAACACTTCTTCTTTCTTCATCAAAAAGAATAATAATCTTGAGCTCAATCTCTTCATCGAGTGAGCATTATCCAATGGAATATCTCCAGAGTCATTTTGAAGTGAAACATCAGCTCCTAAATCAAGAAGATACTTGATTGGAGCACTTCCTGCAGCTGTTACCCTTCTTGCTAATGCAAGATGAAGTGGAGTATCGTTTTGTGAATCTCTTTCGTTTTCGCAACCTGGAATGTAGCAAATCTTCATCATTTCAACATCGTTGTTAAGAGCTGCAACGTGGAATGGAGTTCGTCCTGCAGAGTCTCTTAACTTCAATGTAGTTTCGTTTGCAAGGCTTCTTGCTGTCTGTAAATCTCCAGCATTTACAGCGACAAAGATTGGTTCATCAGAATATCCTTCTAAGATCAAATCTCTATCCATTGTTGGAATGTTTGTTTGATCCAATTCTTCGAATTCGCTTTGGTTAAGTCTTGTAGGACTGACAGGAGGAGATTTCTCTGGAACTTTAATTTTAATAGGTGGTTTCTTCTTCTTGCTTTCTTCCTTCTTCTTTCCTTTAGTTGCTTCTTTCTTCTTTTCTTCGACTTCTGGTTTCTTTTCTGGAGGATGTTCACCAGATTTGAACAATCCAGTCATCTTTCCAATGATGGAATTGCCAATGTTTTCATCATCTGATGAAGAGAATGATGATGTTTTCTCGTAGTTTTCGCTTGATGATCTTATTCTGACTTTGAGGTCTGGTCTATGACGTCTTGGTTTCAATAGACCACCTTCTAATTTGACATCAACTTCATGACGTTTTCCATCATCATATAAAGCTAAATTCAAATCATTTTGACATAAAACAATGTCTTTTCCAAGCAAATTCTTATTGTAAATAACAAATGAAACAAATGGAGCAACATCATCATAAGGAATGTTGAATGATTCTTGCCATGTTGGTGATGAATTATCTTTGATTGATTTGGTTTCGAAACTAGTTTCGCTTCCTTTGACATTTAATTTACAGATAATAGCTAATTTCTCATCAACAACTGGTAAATTCGATACTGATAATACATCAACAATAATGAACTTCTCTTTCTTCTTTTCTTCAATTGGCTTTTCTTCTTCTTGAACTTTGATTTCTCCCTTCTCTTCCTCTTCCTTCTTTTCTTCTTTCTTTTCAACCCTTTCAGAGTCAGATGAGGATGAAGAAGAAGATTTCTTGTCCTTCTCCACGTAAACAGGAATGTCTGTAATGATTGGATCCTTTAATTGTAAATCTCTTGCAGAAACAGGTTTTTCTTCTTCTCTTATTGGGAACTCCACCTTTTCATCATAGTTAATTACGAATCTGAGGTAAATTGTACCTTTTTCACGCCTCTTGTTGAAGATTGCCTTGCTATAAAGTGTGAACTTTTCTTCATAAATTACACCATCGCCGTATTTATCAAGTTTGATTTCTGCTGATGAGATTTTATCATCTTTATTGTTCTTATCTTTATCCCAAACAGTAACAACCAAAACATCTTTAGTGACATCATCAATTCGGATATCAAATTGTTCGTTCCAAACAGGATTTCTGTTGTTTTCTTTGACAGTTGTCTTCTTTTCTTCAGATTTCTTTCCTGACAATGATAAAACAACATAAGGATCTGTTCCAAGGTTCAAATCAGTAATTGGAAGGTCTACTGCCTTAACAACTTCTACGTGCAAGTATTGATGTTGTTTCTCTTCCTCTTCTTCATCTTTAACTTCGATAAATTCGGGCTTTTCTTCGGTCTTTTCTTTTTCAACATCTTGCTTGATTGCTTCTTCCTTAGGAACTTCCTGGGGTTTAGTTTCTTCTTGGATTTCTTCTTCTGAACTAGATGAACTTGATGATTTAACTTTTTCTTCTTCAACCTTTTGTTCAATCTTTTCTGGAATTTCTTGGATTTCTTGTATTTCTTCTTCCTCTTCTTCAATAGGACGAATTTCATTTTCAACAAATTTGTGATCAATCAGGATGTTGACCTGAAGTATACCAGCTTTGGTTCTAAAGCTCATTACAGTTCTCTTATGTAATTGTACATCAAGCTCGTTCTTTTGGTTGTTGAAGTATTCGGAAAGATCTAATTCAGCATCGCCAACTTTGGAATGATTTCCATCATGATCGTAATCAAATACTTGCAAAACAAGAGTGTCATCTTGTTTGTTAGGAAGTTCGAAGTTGTATTTGTCATTCCAAACCGGATCTTTAGAATCATGAATAACCTTGGATTGGAACTTATTCTCATGATTTCCTTTGATAAAGCAAACACAGTATGGATCACAAGACAAATCAAGATCTTTAGCTGGTAATCCAACTGCTCCAACAATATCAAGGTGAAGATAATAAGGAAGATTGTCTTCTTCATTCTGATTCTCTTCAAGATCTAAATCTCTGGATTTAACATCATTCATACCTTCGTTTTCTTCAACTTTAATCTCTTCTTCTTTAGATTCAATAGGTTCCTTCTTTTCTTCATTATCTGAAGATGATGAAGAGCTTGAAGTTGCTTTCTCTTTCTTCTTTTCTTCGTTATCTGAAGATGATAATTTCTTCGGAGATTCAGCTTTCTTATTGTCTTCATTATCAGATGATGACTTAATGAGTTTGCTTATATCACCTTCTGAAGATGATGAAGAAACTTTTTGTGGAGGGATATCAATCTTAGAAACTGAAATATCTGGAACAATAACCTTTGGAATCTCTGGTTTTTCTTCTTCTTCCTTTGGCTCTGCTTTTTGATTCTCTATCATAAATGAACTTAAATTGGATTCATCAAGTTGAGAATCTTCAGTATAAGGAACTTTTCCTGTGATTAAAATGTTGATATTAAGTGTACCACATTTCTTCTTCCTACTAAAGAATGCATCTGAATAAAGAGTCAAGTTGACATCTTTGTGAGACTGTTCATCATTGTATTTGTGAAGAGGAATTTCAACTGAGCCAATGAAATCATCTTTACCAAGAATATCTTTGTCGTAAACCTCAATGATTAAGATGTTTCCTACAGTAATTGGAATAGTAAACTGTTCATTCCATTCAGGATTCTTGTTCTTCTTGATAACTTTAGTGAAGTATTTATCATCTTGATTCTTAACACGAACCTTGCAATATGGATCTGTGCTATTTGTAATATCTGCAGCTTTAAGATCTTTTGCATTTATGATATCCAAGTGAACTAATGGCTTCTCTTCAATAGAGAAACTATCAACTTCAATTGCTTGCTTAGTGATCTGTTGATCTTTATCATTGATTTCACTAATTATAGCTTGGAAGCTTTCTTGAGAAGGTAGTTTGGCTTCAAGAGCAGAATCATTAATTGGAATTTGAATTTCAGTGTCATTTTCGGCAAATTGGATATCTCTAGAGAACATTTGTTGTAAATCAGAAATTGAATATTCATCAATGGAAAATCGAAGAGTGATAGTACCCTGTTGTTTTTTCTTGCCAAAGAGACCTTTGCCGTAAAGACTGAATGTCTCTTCGTGGATAGAGCCGTCAATGTATGGCTTCAGCTCAAACTCGCTGCTGCAAACTTCGTCATCAACACGTCCTTCGTCACGATCATAGACTGTGACAAGAACTTTGTCGGATGAGGCATGCAAAAGATGGATGTCGAAGTGCTCGTTCCACTCGGGATGCCTGTTGTTGTTGATGACTTTAGTCTTGCTCTCCTGGCCTTCAACACGGATGATGACGTATGGATCGGTGCTGAGATTAGCATCTGTAGCGGGCAAATCTTTAGCACGAACAACATCGACGTGGAAGATCTTCTCTACTTCAGCGTCATTATTCTTAACTTCATCCTCTTCTTCTGAAATCAAGGATAATTGCTCTTTGTTAATAGCTTCTGCTACTAAAATCGATTGCTTATTTTCTTTCTCATCATCCGATGAAGATGACGAGGAAGATGAAGACGACGATGATGATTTCTTAAGTTTTGTTACGGATATTATCTTAACAAGTGTTTGGTTTTCATCTGTATTAACTTTTGGCTCTTCTTTCTGAGAAATCTCAACATTCTTTTCCAGAGTTTCGTTCTTTTCTTCTGGTGGAGGTGCATCTGGAACGATGAAATTAACATTGATATTTCCAATTGGTAGATTTTGTCTATTTATATCCAAAAATTCATAATTTTGTGAATTTTTCTCATACCTTGATAAATTAATTTCTGACTCGCCAATTATTTCATCATTTCCGGCTGTATCCTTATTGAAGACTATTAATTTTACAATTGGATTGTTATATTCGATTTCATATGCAGAAATTTCAAATGTTTCATTCCAGGCAGGACAAGTATTATTTTCGACTACCTTTGTTTTAGCAGTCTCCTTACCTTGAATTGAAACAACGCAATAAGGATTACATGGTTTTGTATTATCGAGTGGTGAAAAGATGAGACCGTCCGAGATTGTAATCTTGAATTTCGGAGAATTGTCCACAGTATTTTTGCTATCTTTGATATCAGATTGTATTATATCTGTTGTGGTATTAACTTGTTGCTTTTCTTGTGTAGGAGTTGGCTTGATTTCGATTTCCTTTGGTTTTTCTTCCTCTTTTTCTAATTCCTCATTGTCTTCTACATCACTATTAAATGGAGAAGGTTCTGAAGGAACATGCGTATGAAAAATCTGAAATAAATTAATAATAGCCTGATTCGAATTCTTTTTAGCAATGTCAAGAGGTAACTCGTTTTTAACGTTTTTATGTGATTTTGCATTATGCTCCAATAGGTATTGAGTCATGTCGTAGTCGTTATTTCTGACTGAAATATGTAATGCTGTTTCTTTTCTCTTTGATCTAGCATCAATATCACAATCACCTTCAACAAATTTTTGAAGTGCTTTGAGATTTTTCGATAATGCCGAAACATGAATAGGGTAATACCCATTACTATCGTAAATGTCTGGTTTTGCTCCTTTTTGCAATAAAAAACTCACCATACTTCCATCGTCGATTTTAGCTGCAACGTGGAGAGGTGTATTTCCGTCAGAATCAGGTTCTATGATTGATGCATGATTAAGTGAAATGATTCTAACGCCTTGTTTGAATTTTTTCTCAATAGCATATATTAATGGAGTCTTTCCTTGTGGATTTTTCTCGTTAATTCTCTTTTGATGATAAAGTTCATCAGCAATTCTACCTAGTTCACCCGATGAACGTTTATCAATTGCTTGGAAAATATCCATAAAAAAATCAATAAAAAAATTGTCAAAAATCGTAAGTCACTTTTCAATTTTAATTAATTGAATAGTTAACAGTTTTTGAAAATATATTATAATGCTTTAAAATAGTAGTTATTCCAAAATACGAAAGTTTCGCGGTTTTATAATTCATTTTATTTTCATTCAAACTTAAATTTATCAATTTTAGTGAAATCTAATATAGGTTTGATATTTTATATTATAGTTATTGCCAAATTCAGTATTTATATTGATTTTATTATAGTAGTATATGTGGAAGGGTTTAGTGACTTTTTTTGTTACATCTATATATAGACGATGCATTAAAATATATTTATTTATAAATCATTAAAAAATTAACATTAATTTTAAAATAATTTATTTTTTTATCTTTTATAAAAGAAGCTATATATAGATGATGTCAGATATTCCGCGATTAATTAAACATTGTTTAAATCCTGAATGGGTTAAACTTCAATTTAAAAATGAAGATTGTGAATTATTAAATGAATATGAAAGCCAAAATAAGCTAATGAGGTATAAATATAATGATAAAGAATATTTAATTTCATGGAATCAATGGAGTCATAATCAAAGACCTCATAAACGGGAAGAAGAAATTGAAAATAATGAAATGGAAATCATTGATGACATTAAAGAGGATGGAATTCCTAAATTTTGTAGAAAAACCTTTAGAACTAAGTTAGGAGCATATAAACGTAGAGTATTAAATCCTGAATACATAAAACATTTATTTAAAAAGGAAGACTGTGAATTATTAAACGTTAATGAATATGAAAATGCTAAATCAAAATTGAAATATAAATATATTGGAAGTGATGAAAGGTGTAAAGATAAAGATAAAGTTTATTCAGTTTCATATAATAACTGGCACACGTTAGGGATAAGAAAACATTTAGGAGATTATGGTAAAAGTTCTAAATTCTTTAAATCTAGTATGTACGAGAGAGTAAAAGAAATTAGAAATAATTATTTTCATGAATGAAAAATAAATTTTAAAAATTCATGTCTTACATTTTTTGAATAATTTATTTTTTTATTTAATGATAAATGAGTGTCACAACTAACAATGTTAAAAAAATGGGATTCACAAATGAGGAAATAAAGGATATATTAGAGGAGGCGGGTTATGAAGTTGATAAATATTATTTAAGAAATTGTAAAAAATTCGCAGAGTTTTTAAATGAGTTTGATTATGATGGAAAAATGAATAAAGATGATGTTATAAATTTCTTATATCCCACATCTGAAGAAGAAAAACCTAAAGAACCTGATGTTTTCCCTGAATATTATGAAGAACGGATTAAAGATGATGAATATGATGAAATTGAAAGACTGGAAAAAATAAGAGATGAAATAGATGAAAAAATTAAGGAATTAAGAGAAGTTGAAAAATATAATGAGAATGAAGTAGAGGGTTTAATGAATATCCCAGCTTCAGAATCAGAAGTTCAGAAATCTCATGAAGAAAGATATAAAAATTACTTTTTGGAATCTACTAAAAATTTATTAGATGGTGATATTGACGAATCACTTTCAGAAGAAGGCACAAAATTTATTCATAAACATAAGCTTCAGTTTATTGACGATGAAGAATACCCCTGTATATTACTTTCACCTCCTCTTGATTCTGAAAAATTCAAAAAAGCATTGAAAAATGTAACATATGCAACAAATACGATTAAGAAAGAAGACCATGATATTTACACAAATTATTATTTAAATAAATGCACGGGTGTTGATAAAGTTTTTGATTTGTTAGATAAAATATCAAAAGAAACAATTGGTACATATAAAATTTTATGTGATTGTGGTTTCATTATTGAAGATACCAATAATGTTTCATATGAAAGAACAGCACCGAAGGAAGACGAAGTGGAAAGGTCTATACCATTCGTTATTAAGAACATAAAAGATATGAAAACTTATAAGCATTATATTTATTCATTTATTTCAGAAAAAATGGAAGCAACCCATAAAACATCATCTCATCATTTTATAGCTATTCATACATTCCTTTTCAAAGTTGTGAAATTAAATAAGACAGGAATTAGATTTAATGTATCAGGGTACGCATTCTTGAGTAAATTAAAATGTATTCGTCACGTCGCAGATGATAAAAATTTATGTGTTCTTAATTCATTTTATGGACTTTAGCCCTGGACTTTAAAAAAAATAAACTTTATTTTTATTTATTTTTTAATTTTTATTCTTACATAAATGAACAAAAATGGAACAGCTAAAATGAATGATAATCAAATAAGAGCCGAAGGTAGAAGGTTATTTAAACGCTTCTATAACATTCCTGATGGTGTTAATCCTAAAACTCGTAGAAGTTATTTAAACGAAGCAATAGATGCATATGAAGGGTTTGACATTTCATCAGAAAGTGAGAGGTTAGCAAGAATGTTAAACGTTAATATTGATTTTTATTATTGTGACCCTCAACCAGAAGACGTAGACATTAACAAGGTAGACTTTCCATTAGTGGATTCAATAATGATAGATCCAGAATTTGAAACAGTAAATATTTTATTAACACAGAGTCCATGTGGAAAACTTCACGCTGATAGAATAACAGACATTGAAGCACTCACAGGATATAAAGTTTGCCCCTTTTGCAAAGAAGAAGTATATTCTATCCGTGATGATCCAGAAAGGAAAAACCAAAGAAGATTTTTAAAGCATTGTGAGAAATGTAAAGAAAATAATGGAAGATTAATTCAAGACGTTCAATTGCAAAACACACAACAACCATATGCACCACATATCACGAAACAGAAGATATATCAATGGCTATTAGCACATAATTTGCAGGAATATTATAAACCAACAAGATATTATATTACTTTTGACTTCGAAACATTAGAGACTAAAGAAGAACTTCAACTTTCTGAATGTGCAACTTTGAACGCTTACTTAAAACCATTTATGGTATCATCAACTGTCAAAATAAAGCCGCAAAGCGGCGAGGTCGTAGACCGTGATAAAACATTTACGAGGAATTTTTGCTTAACATCAAGTGATTCTTTTATTTCTGATTGGATTGAGTTTTTATTTTCAACCTGTTCATTAGTTGCTAAATCAAATATTGAACAATATGAAGAATTAATGAAGTCACAAACATTAAATGAAAAACAGAAGGAAGTATTTAAAGAACTTCTAGATGAGGAATTCAATAAAGTGAATATCATAGGTTTTAATTCGGGAAAGTTTGATTTAAATTTAATTCTTCGTGATTTAAACACTGCAAAATGGAAAATAAAATCAATGCTGGGTTCATCTTCACAATTTAAGCAAATCATTGTAAAGAAAACAAACGTTCCATATGAATTGAGATTTATTGACATCAGAAATTATATAGCGGGTGGGACATTAGACCAATTCACTCGAGATTTCGGAAACAATAAATCACGTGTTAAATCCTTTTTCCCTTATCAATTCATCACGTGGGAAAATTACGAAGAAGAATTATATAAAGAGGAACCATTCACGAAAGATTCATTTTATTCAGCATTAACTCAAGAAACTATATCAGATAGTGATTATCAAATATATCTCAATGATGCTAAAAATTTTAAGAATAGATTAGAATATTTTATTCATTATTGCAATAAAGATGTTGAAATTATGATTGACCCAATTGATAAAATTATTGAAGAAACATTTGTTTATAAAATTGACATGCTTCATAATCTTTCTTTATCATCGAATGCATCAATGATTCGTTACGCTTTAGCATATAAAGACTTTAATCCTAACGAAAAATATCCAGAAGAAGAAAATGTGGAATCAAGTTTTGAATTAACGAAAAAGTATTGGAAATATAAAATTGAATCATATAAGAAACAAGATGAAAAAGCAGAAAGAGATACTAAAAATAATGTTTCAATGGATGATTTTCAATACTATCACGATTTAATCCTTTCATCTAAATGCAAAATGTGTGGTAAAGCGTTTACATATGCAAATAAACCAACATTAGATAGAATCGATAATAAAAAACCACATACCAAAGAAAATTGTCAGTTAATGTGTTGTTATTGCAATGTCGTAAAATCAAATAAAGATGAGGATGTTCAACGTTTAAGAATCAATTTAAGAAATTATGCATTAAAAAATAATTTACCAATGACTTTAGATTCAGTTGAAGCTTATCACATTCTCCGTAATGGAATTACTGGTGGTCTATCAAATGTTCAACATCGTGTTAATCTTAAAGGAATCACGCACATTAATAAACTTTCATATAGTCCAGAAACTAAAACTGTATCAAATGAGGACACCACCAACATCATGACTCATTTTGTTGGAGTTGACTTTAATTCATTATATCCTTCATCATTTTCATCTAATCCTCATGATTTCATTCAATATACTGACCATAAAATGTATATGCCGGGAAGATTGAATGGTGTTATCATTTGTGATACAGCAACAAAGAAAGCAAAAGCATGGGAATAATTAGAAAGAAAAATACTTTATTCGTGGCTGAAGTAAAGGGTCACATTGATGAAAAATACATTAATGATTACATAAACTTTTTACCGATAATAAGAAACTTAGATATTATCACAGATGAAAAAACAATTGGCAGTTTTATGTATAATTACATGAAATCAAACAATCTACCAGTTGACCAGAAACAGAGAAAATTAACTCAGTTAGCATCAACACACAACCAATATCAACCATTTTCTTCTTATTATCTTTGGTATCTAATAGACAGATTTCATTTTATCATTGATGACATTCAATCAATTTTAACATTTACGAAAAATACTTGTTTTAATGAATTTGCGAACGAATTTATGAACGAAAGACAAAAGGCTGAATTAGAAGGAAATAAAGGAAAAAGTTTATTTTGCAAGATTTCACTTAATGGATCATATGGTTACGATGCAATGAATACACAAAATTACGCAAAGACTAAAATAATGAATGCACAGAAGGCACGCGTTGCATGTATGTCAAATAAGTTTAAAAACATAAGAGAAATAGGTGAAGATACGTATCAAGTGATGCTTAAAGATAGATTTTATAGATGTGATACATGTTTACAAGAGGCATTCTTCACTTTAGATAATGCTAAATACTGGTATTTGTTTTCATTTATGATTTTATGTATAAATGCATGGATGTTAATCGTTTTCATTTCATTGAAGGTGATACTGATTCATCTTATTGGGCTATTGCTGGCGATCCAAGTCTTCCTAACACTCAAGCATTTCAAGCAATTGTAACCGATAAACAATTTTATGATAAAAACATTTACAAATTCGCACCTTTTGATTTCTTCTGTTTTGATGAGAAATTTAAACCTAAATTAAAGAATAAAGCTGAAGAAAAAGCACATGAGAAGAAGTTATTGGGTTTAGCAATTGAGAAACAAGGTGATAACATGGTTGCTTTATGCCCTAAGTGTTATACTTCATTCAACGGTTCAATTGATGGAGGTGATTTTAAAAAGATTGCACAAAAAATGAAAGGTGTTAGTTTACGACAAAATAAACAATTAACACCTAAAAATTATTTGGATATAATAAATGATAAAGTGATATTTGATGGTCAGAATATTAATTTACAACTTAAAAACGGGTCAATGACTCGCTTAACAATTGGTAAGACTGCATTAACAGGAGCACACACTAAGGCTGTATGTTGTGAAAATGGATGTTGTATGCCATTTATTTAATGAAATGCCACAGAAGAGACAAAAGGAACCGTTAATAATGGTTTTGTACTATGATTCAAAGAGGTGGGCACCCTTAAAACATTTATTTTATTTTTATATAAATGGATAACACAGATTTAAAAATTTTAATTGATGATTTAGTATTTAATCAAAATTTTCTTGATTATTATGATTTAAAAGCATATCTCCAAAAATATAAAAATATAACGGGTGATGATATGGATTATTATTATTCGTATTATAAAAATGAAATTTTGAAATATCATGATAAAATAATTTCTGAAATTAAAGACAAAATTAAAAATAATGAATATACAAAGGGAAAAACTAAATCACAGCTTAAACAGTTGAAAGATTTCAAAAATAAAGTATTAACAGAAGAAGATATTGATGAATTATATAAATTATATAATCCCGAGCCGCAAAAGCCAAAGGAACAAAAACAAATGGTACAAAACACCCAGGTCCTTCAGACCATAAATGATGCACAAGCTTTAATTTATGATTCATTAGTTAAACCATATTCAGCCCGACTTTTAAATGAAGATCAACTTTTGGAATTCATCCTTCAACATAAACTCGAAGCGGGAAAGTATATCAAACCTTTATATACAGCATATTTAAAACAAATGAATAGAATACATCCAGAATTAATGAAAGGAGGAATGAAATCCAAAATCAAAGCAGATAAAATTAAACCACTTACAACACCAAAACCTCCAACAGTAGTACCTCCTCCTTCAGTTAATCCTTCATCATTCACTTTATTATATCCATTTCAAACATTAAAGAAGCAAAAAGATTTTAAAAAGGATTTCAAGATATTAAATAAACCAATTGACCCAAAAATTCAACCGTTAAAGGAAAAATTTAGTCGCCCTTCATTTGCACTATATCCATATTCATACGAAATCGATCATCTGGAATATTCAAAAGGAAACGTTACTTATTTATTTGCCATTAACATTAACACTAGATATTTATATTGCATTCCGGTGAAAGGGAAAACAGAACAGGAAACAAGAAGAGCTATACAATACTTACTAGATCATGAAAGAGTAGATAATATAAGGGGTGATGGTGATAAAGGATTTCAGGCAGCTATGGCTCATTATTTCCCACAAATTAATTTTTACTTTTCATCCTCTCCATATACGTTTCATAATAAAATAGTTGATGTGGTAATGAGAACTCTTAGAGATGCGTTAGGGGTTAATGGTCAGATATACTGGGATGGAAATCATGACTCCATCATACAGCAGTTAGTATATTATTACAATAATACATGGCATAGAACTATAAACATGAAACCAGTGGAAATGAAAAATGATATTTCAAAAGAATGGGAATATATTAGAAAGCAAATGGAAAGGTTAAATGATGTTAAACGTGAACAAATTAATTCGGGGCTCATGAATTTTAAACAAGGAAATAAAGTTTTAATTCATCTCGATTATGGAAAAACTGATAAATCAATGACAAAAAGAAGACGAAGATTTGACACAATAGCTGAATTTGTTAGATATATTAACGGCAATGCATTAGTTGAAGTTAACAATAAATTAATAGAAATTCCGATTTATTTTATTACTCCATTATATTTAAATAATATTTAATTTTTTTTATTTCGTAAGAAATGAGTGACAACAAAGCAGTCAAGAGTCCAGACAATGAATATAAAAAGAAACTAAACAGAATTAAATCAAAAATATGCTATTACAAAAAGAAGCCACAATGCAGTGAGGTTGAAAACGATAAAGAAATAATCGAAAAATTAGAAACTTATCGTTCAATCATTAAACTGAGTGAAGCAAAAATAAAAGAATTTAATAGAATAAATAAATTGATTGGAAGAGATGAATTTAATAAAGATGAATTTTTAAACTCAATCCAAATTTAATTTTTATTCCTCTTCGACAACATCTCTCTTTCCATCATTACTGCATAACCACATTTTCTCAATTTTAGTGGTTTGTTATTTTTAACATGTTCTTGCATCATTTTTATCATTTCCTCCCTTGTTATGATTCGTGGTAAATTTTGAGCTTGTGGGGTATTCATTTATGATAAAAATAAAAATTTAAATTATGCCGTTCTAAAGTTTGAGACAACATGACATTTTGACAACATCACAGGAGGAAGGTAGTTATGAATTATTTTTGAAGAACTGAAGGTGTCACCATGTCACCAGGTAATTTAACTCATGACATTTTGACAACACAGGAGGAAGGCAGTTATGAATTATTTTTGAAGAACTGAAGGTGTCACCATGTCACCATGTGTCACCAGGTCATTTAACTTCTTTTAAAAAATGAGACAACATGACATTTTGACAACATCACAGGAGGAAGGTAGTTATGAATTATTTTTGAAGAACTGAAGGTGTCACCATGTCACCATGTCACCAGGTAATTTAACTTCTTTTAAAAAATGAGACAACATGACATTTTGACAACACAGGTACGAAAAAGAGGAAGGCAAAAATAAATTCCAATCATACTTTATAAAGCATCATTTACAGGTATTTCATCGTCAGTAAATGAATCCTCATTATCGTTTGGTTCAACCTGTTTATATAATCCTTTCATTTCTTCTTTCAAAACATAACACCATGTTTGTTTACCATCTATTCTTACCTGTTTCCTATCACATTTATCCTTAATGCTCATTTGGAAATTCTTGTCTTTCATGTCTGATGGTTTGCAAAATAGAGCATTTTTACACGTCATACCTGCACACAATTCATCATAATGTGTATTTATCCATACATCTAAAGGATTTGTTGATAACTCGATTAAATCTTGTTTGGCTTCAGTCATCGGAATGATTCGTACATTAAATGATGAAAGGTCATATTGCATAAAATATGTTAAAAGGTTATCATAAAATTCCTTTGTGCATGAATCCATTAAATTCTTGAAGTAATCAAATTGACCCTTGAATTTACCATTAACTCTTAAAACTACGTATCTTCTGTCTCCAACTTCAATTTTGACAGGGTAAACGTTATTAGTTACGAAAATGAAGTTTGCAACATTCTGAGCAGTTCTTCTGGGTTGATTCTTTTCATTAATTCTAATCTCATTATCCGTTATAATTGATTTCAAAGCGTTGAAGTTTGCGAGTCTGTCTTCACCTACATTCTTGAGTTCATTAAGTACAAGAAACATTTTATTTTCAACTACTGAGTTGAAATTACCCGTTAGCTCACTTATTTCAGTAATGTTTTTACATGAATAACCTGCGAGAAGTTCAGAAATAATGTCTGTAAATCTGTTTTTACCTGTTCCCTGAAGTCCTTTCAAAATAATTGCTGTTTCATTCTTGATTCCAGGATGTTGAATCATTGATGCAATCCAGCCGAGAAGGTATTTATACACTTCATCGTTATTATCACAAATGGCTTCTTTAATGAAATTCATAAACATCTCAATTTTTGAGTAATCAGGCTTTTCAAGAATGTTGTATTTATAACCCTGAAACGTTGAGAAAACATCGGGGGAATCAGATTTAAAGCAAACACCCTTAACGGTTAATGAAGACAATTGATTTAGTAGTACATCCCATGCTGTTATGGTTTTACCTTCTTCTTTAAATAATTTAATCATTTTGAGTGACTCTTTCATGTTTGATTGAAGAACGAATGATATTTGATTCATTTTGTCGTGTATGTTGTAATCTTTCTGAATGAAGTATTTATTTCCACAATCTACAAAACGGATTACACGTGATAAATCCTCAATTACTTCAGAACTGTTTTTATACTGATGATTTTCAGCCTTGCGTCTAATATCTGTTATCAAAAACGAGTCATCAAGTTTGATATCAAATGTTATTTTTGGCTTACGTAATAAAGGTAAAACATATTCATCATAATATTCCTTTTGATAAAGTTTTAGAATCTTCACCAAAACAAATGGAGAAGTCATTAAATGTGCATATCTACTACGTGCTTTTTCAAAATTACTTTTTGCATTTTCTGTTAAGCTGCAGAAATTATAAACGTTATCGTATGCTTCATTAATTAAATGATTAGGTAACGAATTAATTGCTTGAAACAGTGTGAATAATGTAACTTCTTTTTCTAAATTCATGTTTCCACCATCATTATGTACTTCAAAATCACAGATGCCATCAACTATGCTCTGGGCAAGTTTATCGTCAATGTTTACATCTTTGTTTTCATTCATTATACTCTTTATTTCTTCGCTCTTCTGTTCAACTCTTACCTTAATATTCAAATCATTTAATATATCGTTTACTGTTCTGGTTAATGTTGAATCATAACTTCCACGAATGAATGAGTATGTATTGATTGGTTCTGATGCATTCTTGCGAACTCTTGAATCAGCCATAACTACTAATGAACGCTTTGAATCATCAATAGAAGTCATTATGTCAATATCATAATCATTGCAGGAATAACATTTAATCATTCTGTTCGAAACTGCATAGAAGAAATTAGTGTTGCAATAAATGTGAAGACCTCCTGAAGCGGTTTTAACGATAACATCTTTATCCGAAAGTTTTGATAAAATGTCTTTTCTAACTGTTTCTTTAAGTTCATCATTGTATGATTTATTGATATCAACATCTATAATCGTTAAATTTGAAATTTTATTTACTAATAAAGCTGTACCAGTTTTCCTTCCTCTTCCTCCATCATGTTTGAGGTAGTTATGTAAATCAATCTTGTTTTCACCAATTCTTTCGTTGAGGGTTTTAGTTTCTGTCACAACTAATTCCTCAGCTAATGAATCAATAACTTGTTCATCAGAAACGATATAGTTGTTGTTGTTTGTTGCTGTCATTTATATAGGAATAAAAAAATAAAAATAATTTTAAAACTAACTTTATTTTTGGGCTGCATCAAATTTTCGTAAATGTTGTCAAAATGTCATGTTGTCTCATTTTTTAAAAGAAGTTAAATGACCTGGTGACACATGGTGACCTGGTGACACCTTCAGTTCTTCAAAAATAATTAATTATTGAATGACCTGTGTTGTTGTCTAAATGTCATGAGTTAAATAACCGAGTGACATGGTGACACCTTCAGTTCTTCAAAAATAATTCATAACTACCTTCCTCCTGTGATGTTGTCAAAATGTCATGTTGTCTCATTTTTTCAGAGAAGTTAAATGACCTGGTGACACATGGTGACCTGGTGACACCTTCAGTTCTTCAAAAATAATTAATTATTGAATGACCTGAAAACATTAACGTAACCATTAACGTAACCATTTATTTCTGCAGTTCATCCATTACTTCATTACCTAATTAATTACAGACATAAAATATATTTAGTTCATTCATTGAACTCTATACCATGCGTAAACTGTCATAAATGGCGGCATGTAATCTTTACTTTGCCCCGTTGTTTGTGTATATCCTGAAACGCGATGTGTATGGTTTCCTCCTCCCTCAGTGTTACTCCAGTAACAATCTATAGCAAACTTAACGTTGTCTTTAACATCATATCCTTTACCTTTTATCATTGCTGACCAATCCCAATATCTATGCTTATGCCAACCCGCTTGAGATGTACTTAAATCTATGTAGTGACTATGTGCAGGTAAATTTTCACCTGAAATCGTTTTACTTCCTCCTGTTTCCTTTGAAGAGTTTGCACAATACAAAAACCTGTCAACTATTTGTTCCCACGTACCGAAACCCAGAACTGTTGCTGGATTTGTTGAGTTCATTGACGTATAAATAGAGCCTATAGGATATAATGTTTGAAGTATTTCTGTCTTTAATGTTTGAAGCTCTTTTTTGTCTGCTTTCTTGTCATATAAATCTTGAGCAGTGAATTTAATATTATGTTCATCCTTCATGACATAAACATCTTTACATCTAATGTTTCTCATCGTCGTTATGTCGTCATCCGATGTTAAACCTTGTGGAAAGTTAGGAGGTTTACAATATATTGCATCCCCACCAGTTTCTTCAACCGTTCCTTCAATACTTTCTATAGCAACAGTTGTAAAACTTGTATGTGTATGAGTCTTATTTGCTTTCTTCTCTAACTCATCGTTAACATAAGTTTTATCTGCTTTAAGGTCTAAACATCCTGAAACCCATCCTGTATCGGCTTTAGTTTTTAAAATCTTCGATGTCCATTCATGGTACCAGTCAACCCTTTCTTTCATTTCATTATCTTTTTCATTAACATATTCCTTATCTGCCTTCTTCATTAATTCACTAGCCACAAGTCCCTTATCTGCTTTCTCCTCTAACTCACTATCCACGTATTCCTTATCTGCTTTCTTCATTATGTCATTTAGGAAACCTTTTATGAATTCCTCATTTAAATTAAATCTTCCAATCTTCAAAACTTTAGGAAATGCATTTAATGCGTAATATCTTTGTTCTTCTGGTGGAATTGATGTTATATCATCCGTTATTCCTTTAATTTTTGAATTCATAAATAAAATTTCTTTTATATTTGATATCACTGCACCACCTTTGCAAACGAATTCGAAATGGTCATTTTTCAATACTATCTCCAAATCTCCATATTTCAACATTTGCGTTTGTTCTGCCGTCTTTGAATTATATGCATATATGGCGTATGTAATGGTCTGTGCCTTAAGTTGTTGTGGTTGCTGTTGTTTAATCATTTATTATGATTTAAAAATAAATATTTAATCCGTTATCTCATCACCTATTTTTTCTATTTGAAATTGCCATAATATTTCATTCATGAATTCTAAATCACAATCAAATAGGTCGGTTATTCTAAATTTAATATTTGATAAATCTTTTGAATGAAGAATAAATGAATTCCCGGATAATTGAAACGGATATGATAAAGAAAATATGTTTAAGTTGATGGATAAAATGTTTTGTATTGATGGGTAAGAGTTAGGGTCTAATGTTTGATGTGAAAATCTCATTGGGGTATTAACTTTATCACATTTGATTAAAATGAAATTGGAACCAGTGTCAGAATACAAAACATCCCCAACATCTTTTTCAAAATTTAATATCCCCAACAATGAACGAAGATGAGGGGTACAAAATTTAATTTTCAGCGGGAATTTAATAAGGTTATTTATTTCATCAAGTTCAAAAGTTTATCAGGTTTTGATTTAAAATTTTCTTCATACCATATGATAAATGATTCATTTAAATAACTTAAAATCATGTTAATATCCCATTTCGTTATCACATTATTTATATACATATCATATGTTTTTTCAAGGTCATCTTTAATAAATTATATAATCTGAAGGTCTAAAAGAATGGGATTAAATTTACCACTCACAGAAACGAGAGTAACATTATAAATTCCACTAACTGTTAAATTTAATTCACAGCTATTATTCGAAATAATATTGATAATTGACATTTTTTATTACGATTAAAAATATGGTAAAGCGTTATTTTCCAGTGATAAATAAAACTAGAATAAGATTACCTCAAGAATTCATAAATTCAACGAATAAGAAATTCATTCATGTTATAAATTTTAGTGTTTTCAGAAAATATGAGTCAATGTCATATTCATCATCGGGTTATATTTCACTTCATTCAAATTTAGTTCAATCAAACCCATATAATGACCATTTCATAAGATTTTCAGATGGTATTAAAAATGTAATTGATAGATTAAAATATGAACAGATTGACAATATCGAATTTTTTTGAATTTTGGTTTAAATATCCTGATGGAAAAAAGATTGAAGTTAAAGATAAAGCTGATACTATAACAAAAACATTACAATGACCGATCCAGATAGTGGGGAACAAAAAGAAATAAAACAAACGATAGAAACTGGTGAAAGGTCAATTATTATTGATTATGATTCAAAGGATTATTATTCAATAATGTTAATGCTTGAATATTAATAGCCTTAACAAAGAATTTTTCAAGTGATATTTTATATTCAAACTATTTTATTATAAATATCATTATAGTTAAATGAAGTTCAGTTGTTGTTCCGTTCTTTGATATCTTAATTGTGCTAATATCCTTTATAGGATTTATTTTTGCAACTGTTCCGCAGCATGAAACCTCATCATCTATGAAAAATTGAATCTTAACGTCTGAATCCTGAACATCACAAAGAATGGCGATAATGTGAATTAATGATTCATAAGGTAAATAATTAAACCGGATTGATCAATTAAATTTATTATTGAATCATAATTATTAATTATTATATCACGGTAAATTTTCATTAATTCAGAATTAATGTCTATTTTATAGTATTGCGACTGTAATCGTAGATTCCTGAGTTCTCGATGTTTGATGAAAGAGGTGGGGGTATGTTGGATATGTGGGGATTTCAACGGGTTCTTTACCGGGTTCAGATAAAATGATTGGGTCTCCATTCTCCTCATTCTTTGGTAAGTCACGAGTTAATAAATTTGGTTGAGTTGCTGACTTTGTTAATTCAGGGCTAACATTAACTTTAACATTTTGAATAATTCGTGATTTATCATCATTTACGTTATAACCAACCGTAATCTCTGCTTTTGCGTTAGTGTTCTTTTGACTTGTGAAATGTCTTCTCATTTATAATTGAATAAAAAAAGAAAAATATATTTAAAGTTTTATTTAGTTGTTACGGTAATATCCCAAGGTTCATCATTGTTTGCTTATACTTTCTTTGTAACTGCACCAATTATGTTATTGATATTGCTTTGAGTTTCTTCCAGTCTTATTTTATCATTTACAATATCTTTAATCATTTCATTACATGCATTCTTAAAACCATCTGATTTTTCTAATTTACGTCTATCACTTTCTTTAATTAAATCAAAGTTATAACCTTGTTGAGAATAAAGTGGTTTCTTTATCAATTCCTTGAACGCTTCTGAAAGTGAAGATGAAGAAATTCTTGCCACTTGAATTGGTTTAAATTCTGCTTTCATTGCTTCTTTCTGTTCATTGAACACTGGATCGAATAAAGCAACTTTAAAGAATTTCTTAGCTGGAATTTCAGGTCTCAAATTTGTATATTGACCATCAAACTGATTAACATATCGTGGTAATCCATCCGGTCCCTCTTCAATAGCGTTTAATTCTTCATTGAAATAAGAATATGGATTATGACGGTATGAATTAATTGGACCATGTTCACCTTCTCCAATGTATTGTTTAACAGCTTTTCCATTTTCATCAAATTGCATAGGATAACATTCATTATATGCTTTACGTTTAGGATAATCAGATATAGTTAATTTATACCCATTTATGACTTTAATATTACCTTGACCATCAGTAACGAAAACTTCATTTATACCATCAGGTTTTCCATTTGGTCCTGTAATGTCTGCTTCGTGTGCTTCCCAATTTGGACCATGACGTTTGGCATATGCTTGAGCTTCTGGTAATGTTAAAACATTTCTCATTTGTTTAACATCTTTTTGAAGACCAGCAACAATATGAACTAATTCTTTCATTCCGTCTGGAACTTTCATAGTTCTATTATATGCACCCCTTTTGTTTGTCCCTTGTTTTAATGGAACCTGTAGAAGATTTGCTATTTCTGTCATGTTTAATTATAAATAAAAAATAAAAATTAATTATAAAAAGTTAATCAAATTTAACACCTCCTTTATTTAAATCAACTATTATTTTTCCATGTTCACCTAATTGCTGATATTGTGTGTAAAGTTCATTAATGCTCATTGGTAAATTCACTTGATAAAGCATAACGTTCAACTGTTGACGACTAAACCCACTGAAAATGAAAAGGGTTGATAGATTTGATTTAATGTTTGTGCTTAATGCTTTGAAGTATTGAACAGCCATGAAGAATGAACACTGAATGTGTCGACATTGAGTTAATAACTGATTAAAATATGATTTCTCATTAGTTATTAGTTTTGATTTCACTGCATCATCTAGAAAAATTAGTGAATGCAAAAATTCTCTATCAAAATTTGAAATAGAAAGTGTTTCAAATAATTCATCCCGTTGTTTATCAATAATTTTATCCTCTAATCCTTGCTTCTTGATTGTATTATATAATTCTTTATACATTAAAAAGTTTTTTAAATAATCTTCTGCTTCTTCTTGTGATAAATAAATAATTGGAATTTTGATTAAATGCTTTAAAGATTCAAATGTATTATCTGAAGGTGAACCTGAACGGTTGATATAAATTAACACATGTGAATGGGGGGAAGTGTTAGCAATAATGATAATTTGTTTTAATATCGTTAACGTTTTACCTTTATTTTGTTTACCAATTGCTGCAGTGATTGAATTTAAGTAACATTCAGAATATGGAATTTTCATTAATTTTTCCTTAGATAGAGCATTTCTATTATCACTCAATGCTTCATTAATCATATCATCTACGTATGTATTATATACTCCCGCTAATTCTTCATAAGGGTGAATGAATTTAAATCCATTTAATCAAAAATAAATTTATAATTTTATACATTTCTATTCATCAATATTTCATCATATGAACTTCTATACTGCGGTGGTGTACCTGTTGGATGATATTTCAAACCTTCATCCGGTGTCCATGTCCAATATGTAGTCCTAGTAAACCAAACCTGAGGAGGATTTGTCACTTTTGAACAGTAAGTGTCATTTTCACCCTGAATGATTGGATAAGCTTTCACTTGTACTGTAACTTGTGAGTTGAAAGTTTCTAATCCATCAAAGAATATACCCGCTCCATCACGTTGAACTGGAATAGTGCATAAGAATGAAGTTTGGTCTTTCCATGTTCTAGCTAATGGCGTGCCATTATCATCATTCAGTGGTCTAGTTAATGAGTCCTCGTATTCTTCTGTGCATTCATTCACTCCATCTAAATCAGAAGCTTGAAGCATACGTGTAAAGAATATGTCACCCACTGTGGTCATCGCTTGATCGGGGAAGTTTCTGGAATCTATAGTGACCTGAAGACCTCGAAGCATTGGATTTTCTAAAACTGTTCTTTGCATTGCATTCTTCGGAAATGTAACACAACATCTGTAACATTATGAAGAGCGTATGAGAAATCTGAGCTGATACCTTCAGGAGTGATGCAACCTCCATTTAGTGAACGAACGTCAATATGTTGAGCTGGAATCATGAATGGATCTTCCTTACTAATAAACGTGGTATTGCTTTAACTGATTCTTCAATTAAACCGTATCCTGGTGTAATGCATTTATCCTCTAAAACTTCCATCTTTGTGCATGAAATAATAACGTCTCAACTGTTGCGTCAGCAGATGTAGCGGCTAAGCTTGTAATTAATTTGGCAGGAAGTCCGATTTGTTGGAATTTGCGATCATATTTATAAACATGATTCATAATCTTTTCATAATTTTCATCAGTTATCTTTTCATAAACGTAATTTTGTAAATCAGCAACTCTTAACGGGTCAACCTGACAAAATACTAAAGTATCCCTGAAAACATAATATTTAAGAATGATTTCACCAAATGATTTAGGATAATCATCGAACGCCTGAAATGCTAACAAATCATTTACCGGAATAATCATATCAAAAGTGATATCAACTTCTTCATTTGCTTTCTTGAAAACTTCTGAAGGGTCAATATATTTACCACATACTGAGTTATCATATTTTTGAACATTATTATATAACGAATGAACAAACTTTTTAACTTTCCTTTCTGATTTTGGTTTATATGTTGCAAATGCGAAAGATTCACGGGCGCAATCCATTGAAGATAACCGGCATCACCTCTTTCGGTTTCTACTTCTAATTGTTTAAAGCTTTGATTTGATGATTTGTAACCAACGAATAAACGCATGCATTTAAAAGCGGCATCACATGTGAAAGCTTTATTTGAAACTAGAGTTGCTTTAACTTTGCGTTTAATATATGTGTCACCTAATTGGTTCACATCATGAGCTGGGTTTGTAATTCTTAAATGAGTTTGTTTATCATCAAAATATGGAGTATCAGAGTCATAGCATGAACTTTCAAGTTCTCTATAATATCTTCTTCCATCATTCTTTGCGAATATTTCATTTATCTTTTCGAATGAATGAAACACATTTCCATTAATCGGTTTGGTGTTTGGCACTAAATAGTTAGTCGTCATTTATTAATAAATAAAAAATCAAAATTAAAAGATGAAAATGAATTTTTAATTTTAATGAAATAATCAACTATGGCTGCAGGATTCTTTAAGAAACTGTGGGATAAAGTAAAAAGAGGAGCGCATAAGTTTGGGAAACAATGAAGAAAGGAGCAAATTGGATATTTAAGAATAAAGAAGCAATTAGTGACGTTGCTGAATCAATAACGCCAAAAGCTGCCCCAATAAGAGAAATTTTAAATAAAGGAGAAAAAGTTTATCAAAGACTACAACCGATACTAAGATAAAAATAATATTTATTTATTTTTCCACTATCTACCCCCTATTTTATTAAGTATTCCTTCAGCAATTCCACCAACTGCGTTACCTGCTTGTGCTCCCATCGCCGGATTACCTGCTTTTGTACCTAATACTCCACCTATGATAGTTCCTGCCGTTTTCGCTACTGGTGCCAAAAAGTTTGCAACGGGTTTAATAACCTTTTTATAAACCCAACCTGCAGCTTTCTTAATTCCATCCCATAATTTTTTAAAGAATCCTGCCGCCATTTCTGATTTAATATTAATTAAAAAATATATTTCATCACTTATATTCTAATTTTTATTTAATGATAAATGAAACCAATTTTAAAAATAAATGAAACAAAGGAGGAAGAAATAAATGAAAGTGAAAATGTTCAACAAAAAATAAACGTTGTTAAACCAATTACTGAAATAAAAATTTTTTCATCTGTTGAAGAATTTAATAACTATTATGCTAACAATAAAAAATTATTTGAAGAATTGACAACATGTAAATTGAATAAAATGTTTAAAGTTGATGGATTCAAAATTTCAAAAATAAAAGGAGTGGTTAGTTTGAAATCTATTCCTCAATCAAGAATCACCTCATTAATGAAAATAGATGATTTAACAAAAAGAATAGAAGAGATTGAAGAAAGAATGAATCAAATAATTGATTTCATAAATCATGACTCGTTGAGCCCGGGTCCTTAAAGCCCATCACTGAGTTCAAGGTTATATTCATCAAATATTTCATTATTAAATGTAACTTCTGCTAGTTTATTTATTTTTTCAATACGATCATTTGAAAGTCTATCGTTTAATTTTTTCTGAAGTTTTTCATTTTCTAGTTCTGAAACTTTATTTGGATGATATTTAAACCCGTTAAATTCTTTTTCCTCAGTTTTGATCATTAATTTACAAAGAACTTTTGTGGTTGGAATTCGTTTAAACCATTTATCATTAATATTTGTTATAAATTCAATATTCGGAATTAATTCCCAAATTTTTGCATTTTCAATTAATTTATTATCAAATGCAAAAGCAATAGGTTTAATATTAAACTTACCTTTATAATATAAACTTTCTACATAATCATCGAAATAAACATCTACTTGTTTAACATTTTCAAGAATTGGTGAAAGAGCATCCATTAATTGATTGACGGTTACGAATCTTGATCCACTCATTTATCATTAAATAAAAAAATAAATTATTCAAAAAATGTAAGACATGAATTTTTAAAATTTATTTTTCATTCATGAAAATAATTATTTCTAATTTCTTTTACTCTCTCGTACATACTAGATTTAAAGAATTTAGAACTTTTACCATAATCTCCTAAATGTTTTCTTATCCCTAACGTGTGCCAGTTATTATATGAAACTGAATAAACTTTATCTTTATCTTTACACCTTTCATCACTTCCAATATATTTATATTTCAATTTTGATTTAGCATTTTCATATTCATTAACGTTTAATAATTCACAGTCTTCCTTTTTAAATAAATGTTTTATGTATTCAGGATTTAATACTCTACGTTTATATGCTCCTAACTTAGTTCTAAAGGTTTTTCTACAAAATTTAGGAATTCCATCCTCTTTAATGTCATCAATGATTTCCATTTCATTATTTTCAATTTCTTCTTCCCGTTTATGAGGTCTTTGATTATGACTCCATTGATTCCATGAAATTAAATATTCTTTATCATTATATTTATACCTCATTAGCTTATTTTGGCTTTCATATTCATTTAATAATTCACAATCTTCATTTTTAAATTGAAGTTTAACCCATTCAGGATTTAAACAATGTTTAATTAATCGCGGAATATCTGACATCATCTATATATAGCTTCTTTTATAAAAGATAAAAAAATAAATTATTTTAAAATTAATGTTAATTTTTTAATGATTTATAAATAAATATATTTTAATGCATCGTCTATATATAGATGTAACAAAAAAAGTCACTAAACCCTTCCACATATACTACTTATTATGATATTATTTCGAAATCTAGTATTGAAATTTATGTAAGCTTCTACATCATATTTACGAATCACGGACTAATTGTTTCATAAAATTCTAATATTATCTATTACCTAAATTGTGTGTAACCATAAATCCTGGTAAAAATTAGCTGATCTGCATGTTATAACTGTCACCTAAAGATATCCTTTATCTTTCTTTAAAGTTGGTGACCTTCAAAGTTATTTTATTTTTTAAAAAATGTTTGTTCATGTCTTTGCCCCAAACGCAATGAACCAAGAACTAAATACAGGTTTATGAAGATTTGTATATTGCGTTGTATAAGTTAGAAACGCAAAATGAAGAAGAACAATTGTGAATAAATGAATGATTAAATGAAGATTTCGCTTTCATCGTATTATTTCTATATAAGTGGAACCTTTACTAAATTTTCATGTTATTGTTAATTTTATTACAAATTTATAAATATTGCATATTTTTGCAACTTGGAAAGCAGTTTCACCTTTTTTATTCTCTATTTTGGTATTAATACCTCTAAATCCTAAGAAAAATTCAACAGATTCTCAATTATCGTATTGACAAGCAATATTATGGGGAGTATTTCCATAACTATTTAATGTATTAACCAATTTCATCTAGTGTTAACTTGACAACATCCATTAAATAATTATGACAAGCTATATAAAGTGGTGTCTCTAGATAATCATTTCTCATATTAGGGTCAACACACATGAAATAAGATCTTGAACAAGAGATAAATTAATATGCTGCCTGACGAATTATTGGCCAACAAAAACAAATTTGATTGAATAATGATGTCTTTCTTGTTTGCATTTGTCATATGCAAAATAATATTCTTCAGTAGTATTTTCAGCCCAATGTTCTATAATTGAATTAATATTTTCATCTCTAGTTAATATTATATCAAATTGATTAATTTCTAATATGTATTTGATATTAACATTAATGTTTCAAATAATTGAAAGAAAAATTCATTTTGGTTTTGGTTGCATTCATTTGTTTCAGGATTTCTATTTGTTTTATATTCTTTATCATAAGAGTTGATAAATGAAGAATAAAAGTTGATGAAACGAGAAATTCCCTCGTCAGTGCAGAATAAGAATCTGATAAATCAATCAGTTTGTCGAATTTAAATGTTTCTGTCTTCAGTGAAGAATCTAAGCGGGACGAAATCAGTTTGTCGAATTTAAATGTTTCTGTCTTCAGTGAAGAATCTAAGCGGGACGAAATCAGCAGAATAAGAATCTGATAAATCAAATTGGGAACATTTTGATGATCAGCTTGATTGATTTATCACCATATATATTGAAAATCAGATTCTCAAATTTAAGAAAAAGATATAAATTTATAGAAAAATTATAGAAAATCAGGTCAAACATTAATTTTTATTGACTTGTATAGTCTTTTTTCTTTGTTTTTTGAAATCGAACATCCATGAAAACAAAAATACCATTAAAAAATTAATTTTTTTTTCTTATCAAAATTGTGACTTCAGAGAAAAATAATGAAATTCTGAGATAGAATTAATGTAAGATTGAACTTGATTCTTGCCGTACATATCTTTGTGTTACTTTCTGTAGCAATTATATCATTTAATTAGATCATTGAAAAAAATTATTTCAAAAAAACTCATTTATCATTATCACAGGATTAATTCATTATTAACAACTAAAATAGTTAAACAAAAATATATTATTTTTTATTCACTTGACCGCAATTTAGCAAATATGGATAAACCATAAGAACTATTAAGCTTATTAAACATAGAGTAAATCCTATCAGATCTATCCATCATAAGAGACATAAAAGCAGGTTTCTTCGCTTCATTCTTAAATTGTTGAATAATTGTTAGCAAAGCAACAAATTTACCTAAGCATGACTTCTTAATGAACCATGGAAGGTATTTCTCCTTCTTAGTTGGTATAAATGGAGTGAAATAATCATATTTCTTATTAACTAGTTCTAATTCGTAAAAATCTCCTCTTGGCTTCACCATGATCAGGAACATAAACTTTTCTGCATATGAATTAACGATTACGCTGTCATCTTCATTCAATAATATGACTGTACAGCTATCTCCGACATTCTTTTTAGGGGAAACTGCACCAAATGGAGCAAGATAATCGATTTCGACCAAAGGAGTTGTAAACTTTGGATTTTCTAAATTATCATTATTAGATAAATCCTTTAACAGCTCCAAAATCATCTTGTTAGAACGGCAATGGTATCCAACATCTGATTTGTTATCATCTTGGTTGACTTGAAGCACTCCACAGTTAATTTCGCATTGGAATTTGCTCTGAAACAGATCTTTGAGCGAAGGATCATCTGCATTTAGTCTCTTTACGAATTCAGATGATCCATAGTTCAAGAATCCAATGTCTACCAAGAAACTGTAAACATCTGATGCGTTAATTGGATCTGGAGGAGGCTTGTAAGGTATAAATTCGGAATTGTCCTGGAACATGGAATTCAAATTAAGTATTTTTTGTGTAAAAGGATCATTCATGTCAAGGTCGTCACTTTTTGTCGAAATTTCGTCACTTTTTACTTCCTCAGTGTCAGAGGGAAGTTCCATAGTTTGTGGTGATTCAATTTCGGATTCTCCTTGATCGTAAATCATAAAAGTTGTTGCTCCAAGTGGATGCCTTATGACAAGCTTATTGCGGCCTACTATAGAGACAATGTATTTAGACGTTGCGTAGTGTTCAACTTCCTCATTTGGTGGTGTTTCGAAGTCAGGAGTGTAATCATTGCCACAGAGGATAGCTGTTCTAAGAATATTAAGGAAATCAATGATTTCCAGTCTCTTTACATCGTTTTGTCCAGAAGATTTACTAATTTCGATATTAGTTTCAATGATTTTCAGCAATTCGCATGCATCTTCGCTATTCTCTGCGAAGTAGTTCGTCGATGTTGCTATGTAAAGTAAAGCAGCGATAATAATTACGTTCAAAGTCTGTTTTTGTGGATCAACAAACAAATTCCACAGAGATTTGTCTAAAGTAAAATTATGCTTATACTTGTCTTCAGACATTAAATGTGTTATCAATGCTAAATAAAATTCAGCTAATGGTTTGTCTGCAGGACTACAATTTTTCATCAAAAATTCAATAGTTGTAAAGTGCGATAAACCTTTCGGATCGAATAAGCTGACAAAGCATCTTGCGATTGACGTATCGATATTGTTGTTTGATATATTAAATGAATCAATGTATTTCGTAACTAATGCATAGTCTTCTTCTGTCAAAGAGTCTAATTGAATGAGCATATTGTAAATAACTAATAACCATTGAATATCTAGTTGTTCAAGATTGGGTATTGAACCTAACTGAACGAATTCATGACTTATACTTATAGTAAAGTCAATATGAGACAGTAAAAAGCTTCCAATAACATTTAATGATTTTAAGACCACAATTGGCTCGTTTTTGATAGCGTTTCGGATAATATTCTTTGCATGCTCCTCTAAATCGTTCGTTTTTTCTGCTTCTCCGTAATATAATAAATCGAAAATATCATTATTCAAAACTTGGCCTTGTTTTTGGAAGATATCTAGTGGGTACAATTGGTAGAAAAGCTCCTTAATGAAGTTTGTCTGCCATTTGTCCACAGAAACGTTATTTGTCAGCCCATGATAAGTTTTTTCGTTTCTAACTACATAAGAAAACGCTTTTCGTTTTATTGAATCATCTTCACAGTCATCAATCAGTGATTTGAAGAACATTAATTCTGGAGTTAATCCAGATTTTGATTCTAAGTAATTCTTGTAGCAATTATCGAAGAATTGTAATAAGTAACATTTGATTTCTTTGAATTCTTGTATTTTTTGTTTATATGGACGGATTTCTTCTTCTTTCCATAGATTTCTCAAAGATAAGAGGTTAAATGCTGTTTGAAGTAATAGTTTAACAGCATCTGTCTCGTTTTGTTCCTTAAATTTCCTTGCTCCGCCAATACAAAATTGAATATAAACAGTAGCAAGTTCTTTGTCTTTCAAATTATCATCATAAGGTATGTAACTACTAATAACGCATATTAATCGCTCTATATTGCCTACAAGTAGCTTTGCATGATCAAAAGCAGTTGATAATTGAATTAAAAATATTTTCATAAAGAAATCTGATTCCTTTTCAGTTTTGTCAAGGCGTCCGATAATATCAATGTACATATTGATTGCATTTGTAAAAAATTCTTCGTTTTGATTTGATTTCGTGAAGCAATATGCTAAAATTTGATTGACCCATACTACAATTTGCATAAAATTTGTATTTGACAATTCCTCATCGATTTTATTGCCTTGAAAATTTAGAAATGTTAATCGAATTATATCATTTAAGTGAGAATCATCATAGTATTGCAAGACATTTTGAAGGTAATCCGAATCAGGAACAATTGAAGGCTCGTAAAAATCTATATCATATAAAACGCAATCATTTGACATTCTGAAAAGAATTTTTTTTGACAAAATAATTAAGATCTGATCTGAAGAATTAAAGGTATGGTTAAGCAAACGCATGTACAGCTCAAGGATGACAAGAGATTCAGTTTCCATTATTCAATAAAATCAGAAATTCATCTAATAACTTCTTGATTTAATTTAGATCATTACAGTTCTTTCATTTAGTATAGTTGTTAAAAATCAGTGATCAAATATATGAATTTTCAAGACAATGTTTTATATTTTAAACAAAAAAATTAAAAATTTATATTAGGCGATAATACGCTTACGCTTGGCCCAGAAGTAGCTATGAATTGGACCATACTGAACATCGTTAATTGTAATCGTTTTTTCGCCCCAAATAATCGTTGGCCAATCGAGGCCATCAACGATAAGCATCTTTTTATCTTCCTTAAGAGGCGATCCTTCTGATCTGATTTGACCTAATGAAGGAGCATTATCTAATAATTGAGATAATTTAAACACTTTTCCACCTTGTGTCGCGGTAAGTTCGTATCTAGAGTCAATAGTATCGAAATAAAGAGATGCCTTCTTAAATCTTTGAGTTAACCAGTTCTCATAAGGTAAATCGTAATCTTCGAAGTTTCTTATATCGTAATTGCTCATAACTTCTCCTGAAAAGCCAAACTTGAGCCAATTTAATTCCATTTCATCGTATTGTGGTTTTGCATAAAAAGCAACGCAATCCATTGATGTTTGATCTAAGCACTGTGGTTCCACTAATGCTGGTTCAGCATAAATGATAGCAATACCATGAGAACCTTTTCCTGACTTTGATTTAATATCATAATTCTTTGCAGAGTCGAATTTTTGCATTTCTTGTGTAACTTTGAATATCAATGTGACTCCTACAAACATTTCATCAGGTTTTTGTTGTAATGGGTATCTTTCTGTTTGAGTTACATTCCAATCTGCATCAAAAACAATTATTAAGCGATTTCCGGAAAATTCGATCTGTCCATTTTCAAGTTGGTTGGCGATAATAATGCCTTGATGAAAAATAGCTGCAATAAGGGAAGATGTGCACTGATAAACATTATTTCCGACGAGCTGATGCAATTTAATAGCTTCGTATGATTCTATAATGATTTTTATTGGAATGAATATCTCAAATGCTTTATCAGCCATAAAAGGGAATAAAATTTCTGGAATTTGGTTGACAACTTTGAAAGGACCGTATACAGAATCGAGTTCGATGTTGATTGTGCTTTCTTGGCCGCCATATGTTCCTGGATTATCTAAAACGTTATTGCCATTATCGTCATCCATTTCTTTCTAAGTTAAGAAAAAAATTTTGAAAGAATTCGAAAATTAAATTCTTCTAATTTATTAATAAATTTAGAAGATATAGACATAAGAAGCTATAATCCCAAAATTTGGCAGTCAGTTGAAAGAAATTTTGTACAAAATTTCCTCAATACTAATAATAATGAGCTTTTGATATTGATATTTACTCTCACACATGTTAAAAATCAGATTGATTTGTCTGATCTCCGATTTTCATCAAAAATTTGAAAAAATTTACTTAAATTTAAGAACATTATATCAATTTCATACGTTTCTAGAAAAAAATAAAGTTGATTAGAATGAAATATCTCTCTGTCACGAAGGAGAAATAAATTCTTTATTCTTCCTTGAGGTGCTCGATGTGCTGGACATAGATACCATCGAGGAACTTACGAAGATCCTTATCTTTGATCTTTGTGAGCTGGTGGATTTGGCCACAGACGAGTGAAACATCTTCGAGGTTAGCACCTTCGATGTTGATTTCATCCTTAGCAACGGATTCGTTGGACCAGATTCTGACACCCTCTGGAGCTGTAACAATCTTGTGTTCCTTGTGACCCATGAAACCATTGAAGTCGAATGTACGGCCATCCTCAGAGCATGTGTGCTTGATTGGGAAGTGGGAGTAGACGAAGTGCATCTTATAGCGCCAGCCGAGTGTAACACCGGTGATCATGTTCTTGACGATGCCGAAGAGTGTGCCGATACGGGCAAGGAGCTTGCGGTTGCCGAACCAGCAGCGAGCAACGATCTGGTGATCCTTCTCGTCGTATTCGAAGTCGAGCTTGAGGTGGGAGAGATCCTTGACAAGCTTTGTTGTCTTCTTGTCCTTTGGATCTTGATGTTCGATTGTGACAACACCAGACTTAACTGTGCACTTGATGTTCTCTGGAATCTTGAAATGTTCCTGGTGAAGAACTGGACGTGGCATTAAAGAAAAAGGCCGACCACGCCCCTTTCAACGACACTTTTTTGGGGTGTGCCCTTCGATTTGAAATCGAATTTTAATATAATATTTAAATAATATTGTTACAATACAATACTTTCTCCACTAAAAGTTTATCTGATTACATAAAATAAGATATGGATCGAATGAAATTTATGATTTCCATGTAAGTGAAAGTGACCCTAATTCACTTTTGCTGAAACAATAGATATACAGTAGATATTATCTGCCAAAAAGCAAAATGTTAATGAAAAATTTTGTGAATCTTAAAATAATCATAACAACTAAGGTAATTCAGGAACTCTCTTTCATTAATTTGAGAATTGTATATATTAAACAGTCTTGTGAATAACAATTCGGATTGGTTGATTCTTTTTTTCATAATATGTGCCAAGAAAGAGAATTCAGATACTAACTATTGCAAAAATATACAAACCTTGAATAATTTCCTATTATTGTAGAGAAGAAATAAATTTATGAAAATTATTGTAAACTAAACTTTTTAAATCAGTTCAATGAAATGGATACTGACTATCTGTATGGCATCTTACTGTAAGCGTTCAAGCTGGACTGTGAAGTGGCGCATGATTTCAGCTTCCCATGTGATCTTGACACCGCGTGTGATCTTCTCACGGCGGTCGAAGACGTTCTTGAGAGCGACAGCGACGACATTCATGTGGTTGTCTGTGTAAACACGACGTGGGATAGCGAGTCTGAGGAGATCAAGGCCACCGAAGCGGTTCTCGCGTGTAACTGGATCTCTGTCAGCAAGGATGTAGCCGATTTCGACACCACGGATACCAGCTTCGAGGTAAAGTTCGACTGTAAGTGTCTGAGCTGGGAATTCTTCAGCTGGAACGTGTGTGAGGATCTTTCTTGCATCAAGGAAGATAGCGTGGCCACCAGCTGGGCGTTGGTATGGGATGCCGTATTCATCTAATCTCTTAGCGAGATATTCGACTTGTTTGATACGTGTTTCGAGCATTTCGAACTCTGTGTTCTCCTCGAGACCAGCGGCAAGAGCGCTCATATCACGGCCGGCCATACCACCATATGTGAGGTAGCCTTCGTACATGATGCAGTAGCTCTTAGCGCCTTCGTACCATTCCTTCAGGCGTGTAGCGATGAAGCCACCGATGTTGACGAGGCCGTCCTTCTTGGCACTCATTGTCATGCCATCGGCATACTTGAACATCTCAAGGCAGATCTCCTTGATTGTCTTGTTAGCGTAGCCCTCTTCACGGACCTTGATGAAGTAGGCGTTCTCAGCAAAGCGAGCGGAGTCGAAGAGAACTGGCTTCTTATATTTGTCAGCTAATTCACGAACTTCACGGAGGTTAGCCATGGAAACTGGTTGGCCACCAGCTGTGTTGTTTGTGATTGTGATGATGATGAATGGGATCTTGTCCTTGTTCTCTTCAAGAGCCTTTTCGAGTTTCTTGATGTCGACGTTGCCCTTGAATGGATACTCAGCTTGTGTATCCTTGGCGATGTCAACTGTGCAATCTAAGGCTGTGGCATGGCGACTTTCGATGTGGCCCTTTGTTGTATCGAAATGAGAGTTGCCTGGAACGATATCGCCTTGCTTGACAAGGTATGAGAAGAGAACGTTCTCAGCAGCACGGCCTTGGTGTGTTGGGAGAATGTAATCAAAGCCAGTGATCTTTGTGATGGTTTCCTTCAATTTAAGGAAAGATGAAGCACCAGCATAGCTCTCATCACCCATCATAAGAGCAGACCATTGGCGATCACTCATAGCACCTGTGCCAGAGTCTGTAAGTAAGTCGATGTAGACTTTGTCGGCTGTGAGCTGGAAGACATTGTAGTGAGCTTCCTTGAGCCATTGCTCGCGTTGTTCACGTGTGCTCTTATGGATTGGTTCGACCATCTTGATTTTCCATGATTCGGCAAATGGTAACTCCATTTTTTAAAGTGTGAAAAGTGAACTGAGACGGAGATAACTAGAAAATTGAATGACAATAGAAATGACATTTTTATCGCATAATTTTAATTATTCTTATATATGCATGGAAACTATTTCAATTCGTTTAAAACAATTCTGAAAAACGATGAAAAAGTATTCAATAATTGAATGATGATTATCTTTCAAATAGTTATAGTTGATATCGACAATAAAATTATTAAATAGATTATCAACAATAAAGCTTTGAATTTTTGTAAAGTGATAAAGTCCGATCAGTTTTTTAAATGATTGGTTGGGATTATATGATAATACATTAACTTCGTGGCTAATTGAATTTCTAAAATTCAACGACTTCTCAAATTTTTGAAATTTTTTTTGGAATGCCAACAATAATCGAATATTCAAACAAAATTGCTGATTCCAATGAATTGACTTATCTTCTAATATACAGGATCATGTGATAGAAAGAGGCATGCGATTATCGTACGAATGAAAATCGTGTTTGTAAATGTGTAATAAATACTGTTGAATGACTATCCTATACATTATCTGATAGCAATATGTTTACGTTTATGAGTCAAATCTAATAAATGATCGTGTGACAGAACCAAAAAATCACAATTTGGTCTTAATATGATCTAATTCCATTTTTTATAGTAATTAAATGAATTAGTTTTAAGAAATAATACGTTCGGCGTGTCAGCGCATTGATTTGATAGTACACGCTTAGATATTGAAATCACAGCTTAAGATATTCATTATTAAATACTTAGATCTTTTTAACATTGACTAGAAATGTTAATAGCTTTCTCCATTCATTAATCGTTCTTGAATTAATTCATTACACGCTAGATTCGTTCTTTAATAAATTTTTTCCTATATTTTGATATTTACATCTTTAGTGTAGTATAATCTAATGAATTTTATAGCAAAATTATTATCTTTGTTATTCAAATTTTCCAATGTACTGGAAAAATAGCAGAATATAGAATTTATCAAGAGATAATTTTATATTTATGAATAGAAGGAACAAGAAGATAGAACGATGACAGGAATTTGATAAAGCATTCATCATCATATTCATTCATTTTATGAAAAGAAAAATAAGAGATGTTGGGAGCATCAAATATGCGGAGTCAGAAACAGCTTGTTCTTTAGAAAGATTATATATTTAGCCAATGATGAGTTGAAATAGTCTTTTGTTAAAAAAAGCATAAAATACATTAATGTTTATTTCTTTTTCTTTTTGTTGATCTGACGAAGTTTTCCATTTTCATTGAACAGTTCTATTTCAACTTGGAAAGATTTAGGTCTCATTTGATTTCTTCTATCTTCTTCAAGTCTTCTTCTTATGTTATCTATTTCTCTTCTGTTCTTTTCTCTATATCTATCAGACGTCCTCTCATCTATCTCAGAAATATATTTAGTTGCATCATCCAAATTCGAAACACTCGAAAGGAAATTTGTGCTTTGATACAAAGGAGAATCCAAAGCCATGATTTTCCTTCCTTGTTGATAAGGAATTTCAATCGAAACAGGATGAACATTTTCATCTTCTTTACTTTTATCAGATTCATTCAATGACTGAGAATAAGAAGAAGAACTCATGAAGAGATAAGGCAAATCTGGAGCTTGTTGTATTTTTATCCATGTCGAAATATTTTCAATATTCCAATATTTTGCAGTTCCTAATCTTCCAACGAAACATTCTTTTTCTGTGTGGTAAACGACAATTTCATTGTCATAACCACTGCTAACAACAACATCGAAATCTTCTGATATATCAAGCCATTTCACTGTATCTTCATGTGGTCTGAAAATTTTGCCAACAAAAGTGAAGTCATTTAAATTTACAATTCTCAAAAATCCAAGACCATTTCCAACGAAGAAAACAGATTTCGTTATATCTACAAACAAGGAAGAGATCTGTATCTGTCTGTTCATTCCAAATGCATTAATTATCTTCAAAGGAGTCTTCATTTTTATCGACATTACATTGACATTTCCATTCATGTCTCCAACCAAAAAATTAACTTTGCTGCTTGGAATATCGCAAGCAATTGTTGGTTCTGCATCTAAAATGAATGGTATATATGATGTCTGTGATTGCCAGAGATATAATTCGAAGCCTTCTCCTATAGTCAGTGGATAAAAACTCTTCAAAATTATCAAAGAAGAAATGTTTTCGCTGTGACCTGTGTAGATATGTTTTGGACGCATTTTGTTGCCTGGAAGTTCATCAAAATCATAGATCTTTGTACCTGAAGATACAAAAAATGTTCCAGAAAATCCAACTTTCGAAAAACATAAACTTGAAATTTTTCCTTCGAAATTTGAACTTGGAATTGTGTTTAAAAGGGATCCTGATGTTGCAGCAACAATTCTAACACAATTACTGTTATCTGTAACAGCAATTCTCTTTCTTAAACTGTCAAATGATGCCAAAGTAAGTTTTGATACATCTTTAATTTGGAAATCACAAACTTTCTTTCCATTTTCAAGCGACCAAGTGGAAATATGTCCTGTACTATCAATACTGATGATTGTAGAGCCATCAGCGCTGACACTTGATCCAATAATTACTCCTTTATGTGGTTTTCGACCGTATGAGTTCTCTGTTCTTATCGCCCACTTAGAAACATATCCTCCAAACATGAATAGACTGTTTTCGAGGACAAATAATTGGCTTGGAGCGATGTTTTGGTGCTGATCTTTAACTAACCATGAATCTATCAGTTTAAAGTGGGGCAATGAATATGCAGAAGCCATGTTGTTGTCTGATACAGTGATAACAAAGCTTGTTGTTGATGTAACTACTGCTAAAGCCGAAATTGTTGCCATTGGAGTTTCAACTATATGGTATTGCTTCGTAAAAGTCTGCCAACTTCCGAAATGATGTTTTGTAGTAGTGAAAACAATCTCATTTGTCAGCTTATCATAGAATAAATTCGTTAAATGAGTGTCAGGAACTTTAAAAGTAAGGGTAACAGCTATTGTTTTGTATTTCTGGTCGTAGTTCCACATGCATATAACACCATCGAAGCTACAGGAGACCATAAAATCTATTTCTTGTATATAAATTATTCGACTTATTGAACTTTCATGGACTTTTTGCTTGCAGATGCGGATAGACTTAAACTGTACATCAAATACTTCAACATAACCATTCTCATCACCTGCAAAAAGGAAGTGGAGATTACCATATGAGCTGATTGCTGTTGTTTTGTTGTAAAGAGGGAATCCATGCTCGGTAATCGTTTTTAATGTGTCCACTGTTTCCACTTCCTTCATCTTAATCATTTTTTTGAGTCGATCGTCGCTGAGATACTTTCTTTAATTTTTTGTAGAGATTTCGGATCAAAAAAGATAATATTTCTATTAGATAATGATATTGCAAGACGCTGGCTTGGTTGGATATAGCATACATCGGTGAAAGTTCCTTCAGAATCGTTTGGTAATTCGTAAACTTGTTGACAATTCTTTGGATTCCATAAGGACATGAATTTTTCTGTAAGAGATACAAGTAGATCCATTGATGAAATGTATAATGCTCGTATGATTTTTGGACATCTGATGAATTGTGATGAATATGAAAGTGGTGGGGCAACAAAATCAATTGATATCTCTTTGCCTACTTTAAAAGAATTCGAATTTTGATTTTGAGTCATAAGATAATCTAATAATTGATTCCATGTGATTCTTGAGTCGATTGATGTATTAATTTGATCAAATATTTGTTCCATTTCTTGGGAATTTTGAGGTACATCAGCAACTAAGTTATTTAAACGTGAGTTAATGAACTGATCTTTTGTAATTCTTCCAGTATTGCTTTTATCAACATCATGAAACGCTGCTTTGAGTTTTGATACCCAATCATCGTTTGAAGGTGATTTGTTTGTATTGGCTTCTAGTTCTTGAGAAACAGATGTTGGAAATTCTCGAATCATAAATAAAATTGAAAGTTTTTAATTAATTTTTTAAAGCGTTTATATGACATAGAGTTCATACTTAAAATTTGATACTAATCAGGAAATAATAAACGCATATACTTATTGATACATTAATGATGACGTACTTAATACAAAAATCTGTTGTTATTGAAAAGAATACGGAAATAATTAAAAACGCATAAGAAGAAAGGTTTCGGAATTTAGATTCAAGATAGCTCCAATTCAATCTTGCAGATTAACTTTTATTTCGTAGACTAGATGTACAGAAGACGTTTATGTAGATGCAGAAAACTTGGCATACGAGATTTTTAAGTTAGATTTGAAACACCAAAATTTTATGATATCTGGTCGATTCTGTACGCCTGATTTGATCAATACATCTGCTGGATTCATTCATGGAGGTTCCGGATGGATAGTGAATAGATTTACAGCTCGTTTTTGGTTTGAGAAAAAGGTAAAAACTAGGGTTGGTGTCACGAGGCGTCACGACGTAAAGTTCAAAAAATTAAGAAGTTTACATTTATTTTTTGAGAAGTTTACGATGTCACGAGAGAAAATTTGAGAGGACTCGCGCCACGAAAAGTGTCAAAATAGGGAATTTTCATATGCACAGCCATATATTTCATATAGCTCAACAAATGTGTAATGCTCATTGGATATTTATTAACTTAAACGGCTTTTAGGATGTTGAATTGATGGGTATTCCTATATATAACATTTAGACTTTCTTTCCACACAAAAATTACCATTGATATTTGCTCCATGTGAAATAAGAAGTTCGGCTGTTTCTTTACTATGATTCCTTTTTGCAAAATGAAGAGCGGTTTCTCCATCTTTATCTTTTTCATTGAGGTTTGCACCATGTGAAATAAGAAGTTCGGCTATTTCTTTTTTATTATATTGTGCTGCAATATGAAGAGCGGTTTTTTCATAATAATCTTTTTCATTGACATTTGCACCATGTGAAATAAGAAGTTCGGCTATTTCTTTTTTATTATATTGTGCTGCAATATGAAGAGCGGTTTTTTCATAATAATCTTTTTCATTGACATTTGCACCATGTGAAATAAGAAGTTTGACTATTTCCTTATAACTATTCCTTGTTGCAATATGTAGAGCGGTTTCTCCATATTTATCTTTTTCATTGATATTTATACCATGTGAAATAAGAAATTCGGCTGCTTCTTTACTATTATGCAATGCTGCAATATGAAGAGCTGTTTTTCCATCCAAAAGTTTTTTATTAATATCTGCAACTAATGAAAGGAAATATTCACAAAGGGATGGAATATTAAACAACGGTGAAAAAATCAAGCAGCTGATTAAAAGATTAGTTTGATCGTAAAAAACTAAAAATGAATCAAGATTATTATATTTTTCGCAAGCAGATAAGTCGATACTTATGATGTACTCATTCACTAAGAATGTTACACAATCAATGTTATGTGAAATAATTGCATATTCCATGCATTCTTTATCTGGTTCTTGATGTTTCAAACATTCACTCATTATCTCTTGATTTCTTCCCAAAAATGAAAATTTTAGACACATTTTTGTTATTTCTGATTTAAATTTAGTTCTTAAGAACTTGAAACAATCAACTGCTCTATAGTAACAACATAATTCAAGTAATGAATATCCATCGTAATAATATGGATATAAGTTGCTTTTAAGTTTTTGATTTTCATCAAATTCTTCTCTTTCAGTGAATGAAATGAATACTTCTAAGTCATTATTCATAATTACTCTGTAAATTGTATTTTCTTTAAGAATGTCTAGATTTTCTGATTTAATTTTGTCGAAATCAGCAGACTTGTCTAATTGTATGCCATACTCTTTGTAAAACAAAAAGTTTGAAACAAGTTCAACATTGCGGACCTCTTTTATTTGATAATCATCTGAAATGAGTTTGGCAAGAGATAAATATGATTTTGTATAGCGATTATTATACGGAATGATATTCAAAATATCTTTTATTATAATTTGGGGAGGACGATTCTTTGAGTCAATCAAATTTGTTTTGATCATTTTGTAAATTGAGTTTAAATCTTCTTCTTTTCCAGTTTTCAGCTGATACAACGCATCGTATGAATTAATGTGGTATTTGTATATACTTCGCAATTTACTGTATTTGTTCAGATTACTGTCATGATCAGACATTAAAAAAATTTAAAAAGTAAAGTCTGCCTTTGATTGAAAAGAAACAAAATTGATATTTCTGGACTTTTGAGTTAAGACACTGAAACAATTCTATGAGTTAATAGAAAAAGATTTTTTTATTCTGAAAAAATTGAATAGAGCATGAGACAAGAAAAACAAAATTAAGCATCAAATTCTTGTGATACGATTATTTTTGATTCAAATGCTGTTCGGCATTAAAAGCAAAAATAACCATAACCATTTTTGGGTCGCTTCGCCCCTGACAAAACATCGGAAAAGTGTAAATATTAGAAAGAGATTGATTAAAATGCGGTACACTATTTCCAAATCATTTCCTGCTGGATGTTTCCATCATTTGTATGGTCACATTGTGATGAAATTACAAATCTGAATTTCTAGTAACAAGGCTCAAAATCCTTCCAAATCAAAAATTTTATTTTGGATTTTTTTCCAAATTTCCTAACACTATATATATATCATCTATCGGCGCGAAGCACAGCTTCGCGCCGATAGATGAATGAAAAAAGTTTAATTGGTTGTTACTGAAATTCGCAACGACACATATGTTATGCACGAAAGTATAATCAAACTCAATGGATATAACATCATTAAGTATAGTGACACATATTGGCTCAAGATTTTTCATCAAAATTCTCGTGTTTGTTTTTTCAAGGACAAAAGTGAAGCAAACTACTCAATAAATAAAAATTGTTTTTCAATTCTCCGTGAAATTGACTCTAGATTTCAAATCGATAACAAATATTCTTTATTGATGGAGTATCCACAACTTTACAAGTATATAAGATGGACACAGACATCTGATTTCTCTTATGTTGCAAACGAATCTCAAAACTATGAAAAAATTTCTAATAATCCAGGAGCCTGGAGTAGATTCAGAGGACTCCACTCATACCCTAGTTCATTTACAAAATCGTTGTATGTTGGCGATAATAGTGGAGAAAATTGGTTTTTTGCTGTTGGTGTAATTTATGATCAATTCAAAGGCGTAATGCCCGCTACTGAAAATGAAATTTGGCTTCAGTTTGTTGATTTGTGGCTAGAAATTGATGATTTTGAAAAAATGAAACTGCTTCCTCCGATTTTCAAAGGATGCACAAGTAACTGCCGAACAAACTTCCTATTTTCGTTTTCATATTATACAGTTTTCATCTTGATTTATGAAAAGTAAAAATTAACTATATTATTAAAATATTCTTGTCATCACACATGTTTTTGGCTAATAATCATGCTAACTGTTTCAAATGGATTGATATCAACTGATCTAATAATCAGCCAAAAGCATCACAATTTTGCAATTTAAATACATTAATGATGACGTCATTCAATCAAAAATCTGAAATTTTTGAATGAACTTCGGAAAAAAATTAAAACAATTTTCTTTTTTCTCATTTGGGAAGGACTATTTAAGTGAGTAGAATAGAAATACGGAATCAAACATATGTAATGCATGGGGATATCATTAAGCATCTTGGATATAATGTAACAAGATATGTTGACAAGTATTGGCTTAAGATTTTTCACCAAAATTCGCGTGTTTGCTTTTTTGCAAACAAATTTGAAGCTAATTACTCTATTAGCAATGACTGCTATTCTATTTTGCGTGAAATTGACTCACGTTTTAAAATTAATGGCAAATATTCATTATTGCTTGAATATCCACAAAATATGCACTACATCCGATGGACCCAAACATCTGATTTCACATATGTGTCAAGTCAATTCAAAGACTTTCAGCCAAATTCAAAAAGTTTTGGAATCTGGAGTAGATTTAAAGGATTACACTCAAGACCTGTTAGTTATCAAAGTTCGTTATATCTTGGTGATTCAGATAGCACACATTGGTTCTATGCCATAGGCACTATCTCAAACGCGTTGAAAGATATAATGCCTAGTAACGAGAACGAAATGTGGATTCAGTTTGTAGATTTGTGGTTGGAGATTGATAATTTTGAAAAGATAAAGTTGCTTCCAAAAATATTTAAAGAAAATGCAAGTCAAAGTCGAATTAACTCCATATTTTCATTCACATACTATTATATTTTGATATTATTTTATGATCGGTAAAACATCACTATTTATAATCTATTCTTTGAAAAGATTTAAATAACATTTTCATTTTTGTTTTAAGCATGCTCAAAGAATCATTCTATAACATCAATGATCTTGTGTGGTATTCTTTATGCATTGAAATGAAATTTATAATGAATTCCGAGAATAATTTTCTTTCAAAGCTTTCAATAGATTTACAAATCAGGAGATAGCATTACATAGCAGTTAACATAGATTTAAATTCCATAAAATAAGTTCATTTTTGAATTTATCAGAAAAATTCAAAATGGTATTTTGATTTTCTCTCACTCTCGAACGAAAATAACTTAATTGTGTCCAAATTTAATTAGAAATGATACATATGTTATGCATGAAAGCATCATTAAACTCAATGGATATGATTTCATAAAATATGCAGATAAATACTGGCTCAAGATTTTCCATCAAAATTCACGTGTTTGTTATTTCAAAAGTCAGTTTGAAGCCAATTATTCCCTTAACAGGAACTGTTTTTCAATTCTTCATGAAATTGATTCACGATTTAAAGTTAATGGAAATTACTCTTTACTTTTGGAATATCCTCAAATTATGCACTATATTCAGTGGACCCAAACGTCTGATTTCTCTTATGTCGCTAACGAATCCCAAAATTATGATCTAGTTTCTAAAAGTCCCGGATCATGGCAAAGATTTAAAGGGTTACATTCATATCCTATGCCATTTAACAAATCGTTATATATTGGCGAGACACATGGTGTCTTTTGGTGCTATGCCATTGGAACAGTTCGTATTGATTATGAAGGTGTAATGCCTGTAAATGAAAATGAAATTTGGATTCAATATGTTGATCTCTGTTTAGAAATCGATGATTTTGAAAAATGAAGCATCTTCCTCCAATTTTCAATGAATGCACATGTAACTGTAGAACAAACTTTATATTTTCATTTACATATTATTCTCTTTTTAATGTAATCAAAGATAAGTAAGACACAACTGTTTTATTAGACAAACGCATATTGCTTGATTTAGTTAAAAATACTATTGATATTGCATCTTAAGATAATATTTATTATATGCTATTCTGGAAGAAATAAAAATGTCCAACAAAATGTAATTTGCACAGTTTAAACTGTTTACTGTTTATGTAACAAACACTTTTAACAATTTGGATGATGAAATACCATTAAAATGCTTCCCATGTCTATGAGACGGTCTTGCAATACAATAGCCGCGAGATAGTATATATTTATCTCCACAACTAACACATTTATATGGAAAAGCATTATCACAAGTTTTACAATTAATTGGACAGTTCTTGCATTCGCGTGTTTCATCATTTGGAATCATCCATGATGGGCAGTTATTAAAACAGCTATTGTTTAATTTATAATAACCAGCTCTACATTGAGAACATCCGTTGATTGTACATCTTTGGCAATTTTGATCTTCACATACTTCACAATTGGTGATATTTTCATAAGTTCCATCTGGGCAAGCATCATAGCATTTATCTTTAAATAGCTTGTATTGCAATTTGCATTGTGTGCAAACATTGGAATTCTGGCATAAGTTGCAATTACGACTGCCACTTTGGCATTTAAATTCTGAGTATTGAAATGATCCAGGAGGGCATGATCTGTAACATACTCCATAGTATACCTTATAATTAGTTTGGCAACGGGTGCATGAACGAGCGTCATAACATACTTGACAATTTGAGTTGCAATTAAGACATTTTGATCCTGCTTTATAAGTTCCTGGTGGACAAAAAGTATAGCATCTTCCGTTATAGAATGAGTATTCACTTTTGCATTCATTACAAATGCTGAATGAAGTACATGAATTACATTCATTCTGGCAAAATTCACAACGATCAACTGATACATAAGTCCCTGTGGGACATATGTCTACACATGTTCCATTGTATAAATAATATCCAGATTTGCAAGATAAGCAATTATTAGATGATGAGCATGATTCACAATTAGAAAAACTGCAATCAATGCAATTTCTACCTGATTGAAATGTTCCTGGAGGACAAGAATTGTAGCATTGATTGTTATATAATTTATAATTGTTTGAGCATTCGGAGCAAGAAGAACCGGATGAGCAAGAAATACAATTCGTAGGGCATTGTGAACACTGTCTTTCAGTATTTAAATAATAACCTGAATTGCATTGTATGCATCCAGGTTTTCCACAAGATTTGCAATTTTTAGGACATTCAATACAACTTGGTCCCATTGGAGATGTCCCAGATGGGCAGCTAGAAACACATTTGCCATTATATTCATATTCCCCTACTTGACATTGCTTCATCATTTTATTGATTACATCTTGAATTTAATCTTTAAATTTAATCGAAATCATTCATTGGAGAATAACTGATTATTCAACTAAGGAATGTAACTGAATAGTTTTCTGTTAGAACTGATTAATAATATTTAGTTAATTCGATAAATATTTTTATACTATTATAATATTATAGGGATGATAAAAGGCTAAGTTATTTAACATACACTATAATGTCATGATTAAATCTAAGTATTGGCATCTAGATTGAGTGGAATTATTGTTATTTAAAAGTGTGTATATTCAATTGTTAATTTTGAATTGATTATCGTTAATCTGATTTCGGAATTATCATACATGGATTATTCGAATGTAGATAAGATATGATTACATTCTTAATCAGAAAAATAAAAGATTTCTCCGGTCGAACGATAGTTCAAAAAAAAGTATTCAATAAAACTATTGCAACTTTACTTAATAATCTTACAAACATAAAGAATTTATAATTGAATATTGCATATATCTTCATCATCATTGTCATTTCCTGATGATAGATCAACAATGCCATCATCTTTGACTCCTGTCATCCTATCATTTTCTTCGAAATCTGCATGGAAAGGATCATCAGCTGTTGAGACATTGTACAAAGGATTATCATTTGTAGTCATATTTTCTTCAGTCTTTGTGAATTGGATAGTTTCTGCTTCCATCTCCATCTGATCATTAACTTCTGTTGATGAACTTTCTTTCTCTTTCTTCTTCAAATATATGAAAATAAGGATTGCAGTTATGGTGATGATAAGAATAGCAGCAGCAATGATTGGCCATAGAATGTATTTGCCAAATTTGGTCTCTAAGAATCCAATTGCAACTGATTCGGAGGTTGCATTTTGTTCGGCCACAACTTCAATTTCGATGAGTTGTTCTATGTATGTGTATGTAACATATGGATCACCGTTTATATCTGTTGTCATTATTTGTGTTGAAGTGTTGAACATCCTGTATGTCCTCAGTCCTGTGTAATGCTCTGGGAGATAAGAGGGAACTGGGTAAGGAGGCAATGTTCTTGCCGGAACAACATTGTGTTTTATGACGTTAAATTGAAGTAAAACATCTTTTGATGAGAAATTCATGTTATCGAATGCTTGAAGGACAATTTCATGCTTTCCAACAGCTTTAGGAACATTTATTGATGAAGTGAAGTTGCTGCAGATATTTCTGTTGTTTGAATAGCATGTATGAATATCTTTGAAATTGTCAAAATCAAATCTCATTCGAACAGTGAGATCATCTTCAAGATCAGCATCATTAACTAGTAATTTCATATCAATACTATCTGTTAAATAAAATGTTTTATCCTGAATATCATCATAATTAAGAAGTCTCAACTCTGGTGAATTTGCTTTGTAATAGAAGAAACTGAAGTTAGATTCGATTGAAGATAAACCAAATTCATCTACTGCATAAATGTAAATAGTGTGTTTCATGTATGAGATATCACGTGGTTTGATTTCAATTTGCTTTCTAATTGTTTGTATTTGGTTATTTAAATCAATGAAATCAGCTAAGTTGATTTCATTGCCATCATCTATTCGATATCTTATGTTTGCTTTGCTATCATCATTAACTTCAAGATCGAGACCAATAAATGCATGCGATGAATATCTTTCAGAAGGACTATTTAATATCTTCAATGTTGGTTTTGAATTGACTGTTAAGTTGAAACTTCCAAAAACTTCAGTTTCATTTTCTTCTTTGACAATATCAATCAGAAGATTTCCAGTTCCCTTATCATCTGGAATGGTGAATTTCCATTTGAAATCTTTGTCACTCATTGAGTTATGCAATGTGTATACATCAATGTAAAATCTTGTTCCTGAATTCTCAAACTGACCTCGCAACCGGACTTTTGTCTGAGGAGGAATTGATGATCTGGTGTAATATCCGTTGATTTCAATCTGAAGAGATGGTTCTGCATATGATGGAAGAGATGTTCTAAAGGATATTCCGCTAGTACGACGAACTTTGTAGTTATGTCTTGATATTCTTGATGCAGCTGTCCAATTATCTTTGGCTTGGAATGTGACAACAAGAAGTCCATCATTCTTAGGAACTGTGAAAGTATAATTGAAGAATTGCCACTCACCTGTAGCGATTGTCTTGTATATTTCTGAATATCCTTGTCTATTTAACTGGAAATTGACAGAAATCTTATCTCCGACATCGAGATCTATGACTTTACCTTGTAAAAGAACAACATCTTGGGTTTCATATTGTTCAACAGTGTCAACACTGATAATGACCATGTCTGGTGCATTTTGGTTATAAAGAACAAAGTCATATGGTGTATCAGCTGATTCTGCTCCAAATTCATCTCTAACAAAGATATACATTTTATGCGACCCGAATTCATATGCACCTGGAGGAAGTTCGATTTGAGTTTCAATGTTTTGAGCAACACCATTACAATCAATATAGTCAGTAAGATTAATTTCTCTACCACCATCGATACAATACCAAAGCATGACTCGAGTGTTATCCCAAACTGTAACTTCAAGATCAATGAATCTGCGGTTGTAATATCGTTGATTCACTTTATTTGTAATCTTAAGTGTTGGTCTGAGATTAATAACACTATATCCTGTATTGAGTATTGCTGCTGTATTTCCATCAACATCTGACCATATTCGCAATGATTGTGGTGTAACTTCGTTTGGAACATTAATTGTGAATCTAAATGTATCTGTAACTAGATTTGCATTGGAAACAAAGTTATTAATTAATTGAGGAGTTCCGCCTGAAAGTTGATAGTAGATCTTCATCGATGTTCCTGGTCTGAAATCCCCAGCAAAACCTTCTATAGTAACTGAGTCACCAGGCATATAGGACATAGCATTGGAATTCAATAATTTAATGCATGGTTGCAGCTGAACTTTAAAGTCATGTCTAAAGTCTCTTGATGAGGCTCCTGAATCATCAACTGCATAAACAATGATAAAGAACGTGGAATTCTTTTGTGGAACTCGAACTTTAATATCAAAGTCATGTCTTGAACCATCACATTCATATTCTCCAATTATTTCAGGCTTGGTGAAGTTTATTCTATAATAAACTGTAACTTTTCCATTGTTTTGATTTGAATCTACAACACTACCACTGATTTTAATGCTTTCATAAAAGTTATAGTAATATTGCTTTTCAAACTCATTAAGTTGGAGTTCTGGAGCTACTCATGTTTGATATGTAAATATATGATCAAAAGATGTTGATTTCATTTTGAATTCATCAACAGCAAAAATGTGGATTGTGTGCCGATCATATGAAACTACACTTCTATCAATTGTGATTTGCTTTCTGTAAGAATATTCTCTCTCATAAGAATAAATGGTTTCTTTGAAACATGTTTCCTGATTGCTGTCGAATGAATAACAAAGTTTGACATTGGTATTATCTTTGATCTTGAAATCGATATTCATATGGTCATTATCATAATAGACATTTCTAAGAGGATTAATTAATTCTAATTGTGGAGGTGAATTAACTAAGAAGTTTCCAGTTGTACTGTATATTTCATTATGGTTATTTTCAATCCATAATTTGAAGTTATGAATGTTTACATCTGTACTTGGATTTAATGCGAATTTGAACTCATTGGATTTGTAATTAGTGCCAATACTGACAGTTTTAACAAATGTATTTCCACTATTATCTAATTTGTAATAAACATCAAATTGGGTGTTAATATCATAATCAACAACCATTCCAATTACTTCAATAACTTCATCGTTATTGTAGTTAACTTTAAATGGTTTGATGAACTCAATTCCAGGAAGCCTTCTTACTTCAAAATCTAATAATGTGAACTTTGATTCAATGCCATATTTATTGATTGCTTTAATTGTAACCGTATGGAATCCATTATATGGAATCATTGGAATTTTGTAACTGAAATCCATACTTTCTTCGTCTGAAAGGAGGTTTCTTGAGCTCTGCGGGAATTCATGAATAATTTCATAATCTCCGAAATTGTATTTTAATAATATTTTAACTTGGTCATCTGAATTTCTAGTTGTCACTTTACAATTTATATTAATTGTTTCGAAATATCCATATGTGTAACCTTTAAGTTTATGCCCGACAATGAGTTCGGGGGTATGGTATTCGTGCGAATAATCAAATTCTTTAACGAAAGGAACAGAATCACTTCCGAATTCATCCTTGAAGTAAACATATAATGTATGCTTTCCTTCAACCAAACTTCCTTCTGTTATTTCAATTTGTAATATTCGTTGCTCAATTTCAAAGAAACTTTGAATCAGTCCTGAAATTTTGACTTCTTTTCCTTCATCTATCCTGTAATAAACATAACCATCAGTATCATCATAGACACTAACATCGACTTCAATGAATGCATGTCCATAATAATTATCATTAAGTGTATTAGTTACATTAAGTTCGGGAGCTTGACTGACAATGATGTAGATTTCCATGTATGGGCAAAGAACATGACCTTGTTCATTTTCACCCCATAGAATTAAATAATGATCTGATTTAGATTCATGAAGTGTAATATTGTAATCAACAATACCTGAGGTCATGTTGTCATATATGTCTACATTAGATATCAAATTCTTTCCATCGCCGTCAATACTATAGCAGAATGCAACCGTGGTGTTCTCTGTGAAATCTAAAAGCATTGAGGAAAGTTGCATTGTTTCTCCTTCGCGATATGCTTTACGCATTGGTTTCAGCATTTGGACAGCAACATTCCTTTCTACATTAAATTCAAGAGCAACTTCATTCGATTTAGAATATGTTTGATCCATCGCTGCAACATATATCGTGAACAAACCATCTCCTCTTGGAACATCAATGGTATATGAGAAATCATGCCAATAACCATCTGCAATGGAATCATAAAGCTCTGTTAATTTGCTGCTACCAACTTGGAACAAAACAACAACATGATCACCAACATCTAAATCGCGAACACTTCCACTAAATGTAACTTTTTCACTGTATCTGTATGGACCTTTCTTCACGAGTGGATTAAGTATAACTTCTGGAGCATAAGTATTTCTGAATTCAAACTCTTGTGTCATAACATTAGATTCGATACCAAATTCATCAACAATGTAAATTGATATATTGTGTTTGCCGAATTCAAGATCGTTGCCATTAATTGGTATTCTTCTAATAATTGGGAAACTCGGGCTTCTGATCGGGAGCATCTCATTAATATGCTTTGGGGAATTATTATCAAATCTATCATAAATCATGCAGTTGGAATCATCTGTTATGTTGCCATCAAAATCAATGTATTTACTCATAGAGTAGTTAGTTTTGATTGGATTCCAGTGATCAAGAACTGGAGGTCTATTTGTTATTACCTTAATATTTGTTGTCTTACATGTAATTCCGCCAGCAGATGTTGCCCAAATATAAATATTGTTTCTCATAACTTCAATAGGAAGTTGAACTGTGAATGTAAAGATTGGTGTTTTATAATCATCTTGAATATGCATTGGTAATGTTGCATACTCTGTGATATCTTTGTTAATTTTACTGAAAAGTTGGACTTCTTCACCGACATCAAAATCTGCAATATATCCACTAATAGATATTGTAGTGTTTGGAAGATATTGTTCATCGAGTTCTGATGTTACAATGATTGATGGTAATTGTTTGATATTGATTGTGAACTTTTGGTCTTCGGATGATGCTCTACTATCATCACGGGCTCTAAATATCACATTGTGTTGTTTGTCTTCATTACCAAGATTGATTGAGTAGTTGAATGAGTGAACTTCATTATTCGATTCGAAATCAAAGATTAAATTCTCTTCTCCATCATCGATTTGAATGAAAACATGTGTATTATCTTCTGCATCCATATCTTGAACTGTTCCTACAAAAGAAACATTTTCGAAATAACCATACGTATCTCGTTGTTCCTGAAGTTTGACAGTTAATTTAGGAACGTATCTATCTGCAAAATTAAAGCTTCTTGTGATTTTATCAGATTCAACATCATACCAATCCCGAAGCCAAACTGTGATTTGATGGTTTCCGATAGACATTTCTTCCGGAATTGGGATTTGCAAATTGACTGTTGTATTCTTCCCATTACATGTAATATAATTACTTAAATGAGATTGTGGCAATGAGTCAAATTGGTAATAAATATATGTTGATGAATCATCAAAGATGATTGAGTTGAAATCAATGAATCCATTCCTTGAATATGTCTCTTGAATTTCATTCCATAAAATGATTTTAGGACCAACATTTATCTTTACCAATTGTCTCGATACACTACTCTTGAGTCCATTGCTGTTCTCTGCCCAGAATGTAATTGTGTGCGAACCAACTTTTGTTGGGAGGTTCATTTGGAAGCTGAAATCCTCTGTCCTGTAATTCTCATCAATACGAAGTAATGATGTTGCATACTGCGATTTTTCATAATTTATGCTGTAAAGAACTTGAACTTCTTGCCCAATTTCATAATCACCAACAAAGCCAGTTATTGTTATTTGCTCGCCACCTTCGTATGATTTCTCTAATTTGCTAGTGATAACTGTGATTGGAGATTTCTTGATCCTTATATTGAAAACTTGATCATTCGATTGAGAATCTGTATTATCTTTCACAGAGAATAAAAACGTGCAAACACCATTTATATTGGGAATTGGAAAATCATATACGAAGGATTGATTTCCATCATTTGATTGGCAATTGAATATCTCTGTACTTGAACTTCCATTGACTTTGACATAGAGAGTTAATCTGTTATCTTGATCTTGATCAAAGATACTGCAGTTGAATTGAACTGTTTCATAAAATCCATATTCTCTGTCTTGCCCAAGTATCTTTACATATAACTCTGGAGCGTGTTTATCGTTATATGTAAATGTGAAATTAACTTCATTTGATTTAACATCATATTGATCAACAAGATATATTATAAGTTTATGTTGACCTCCTCTAAGGCTAACTTTAGGAAGAGGAACTTGTTGATGAATAATTTGTTCACTACCTGTGCATTGAATCCACTCGTTTAAAGGCCGCCTCAACAAAGTGACTTCACTTGAAATTCAAATATCGTATTTAAGAGTTCTAATATAAAACACTACTACTAATAATAATAATCACATTAATAAAAATGAGATATAATGAAATTTGTTGAAATCTTTTTATCTTGAGTTTTATAATAAGCATCATAAGAGTAACAGTATAAGATACTTACAAAAATATTTATATTGGCAACAATAAATATATCATATGTGAAAATTTGTTGAAATCTTTTTATCTTGAGTTTTATAATAAGCATCATAAGAGTAACAGTATAAGATACTTACAAAAATATTTATATTGGCAACAATAAATATATCATATGTGAAAATCAATTATCTATTATTTCTTTATCCCCATTAAGATGCATTAATAATAGTCATACTGAATATACATGAATAGTATATTACAAACATCATAGAATTATCGCATTAAATCATAATTTTTTTGCAATCAGAATCTCTTGGATTTGTAAAATTTAAAATAATATAACAAATATATTGTGTATACATTATGTAATGTTATAGTAAAGTTAAAAGTTGTAAAAAATAAAATTGTTTAAATTATTAAATTATTCTTGAAAACCATGAATTTGAGGTAATGGAAACGGTTCCCTCTTTTCTTGAGGCATTCCAGCAATTACATACTTTGGAATTTCTGAAGAATTTTGTGATTCATTTGAAATTATTTCTTCATCTTGTCCATTTCCGTAATCTCCTTTTCCTTTTACAATCAATTTTCTTGCCTTTCGTCTTTCTGAGCGCGCAGATCGATATTCTTCTGTCTTTTCTCGTTCCGAGCGCAACTTTTTTTCTTTGTGCTCTTCAATAAGAGAATCCCGAAGGATAGGATGAATTGGCTTAATTCCTGATAAATTACGTAGTTCAAGTAATCCTTGATATCCTTCATTGTGGTAAATTGTAGCAATATCTGTTCTGCCTTCATATGAACTGAGATAATTTGTATGTTTTGGATTAAAACGGCATGATCGAGCATTATATGACTCATTTATATGAGTTGCATAATCCGGATTAACAATTTGAAAAACTGATCCGGAATCTTTTAAAAATTCGAGTAGATGATTTCTTGCATTTTCGTTTTCAAGTCCAGCTGTCCATATAAAATGTTCTTTTTCTTCATCTTTTGTGGAATGTAAACAATATTCTGGTGAATGATTTCCAATTAGATGATCTACAGCGTGGAGCCAATAAAATAGCTTCTGTTCTTTGGAAATATGCTTATTCAATAAAGTATTAAAGAATATTTTGAGTCTGTTTTTGATACCATGAAAAATTTTTGAGTCGACGATAGGCATGTCACTTTTTGCATACTCATTAGAAGTAAGACGTTTCCAGCACAATTCGAATTTCTTTTTGCAATGGAAGCCATCTTGATATTCAACAGCATCAGGAAAATGCTTATGAACAATATTACGGGATTTATTATCCCTATCATGGCAAAAAAAGTCAATAATACCTTTTCCCACCGTATCTTCCAAAATTTGAAGAGCCTGATCAGCGGCAACAGATTCCATTTGGCATGAGGCACCAGTATAATTTCCAGCTTTACCTTTACGAGATCTAACGATTACGAATTTTGCCACAATGTCACCTTTAGGACCCATTGCTACAAACTCACACTCGTCTGCATTTCTAACATGCGAGAAATGAGCATCGATGGTGATAACAGTTCCAGGCTCAAGTTGCAATGCATGATTTTTTACACTTTTTTCAGCTAATTCCTTCGCTTTCTCGAGAATCACCTTTTGAATCTTGTAAAAGTATTGTGAAGATGGTACATCTATACCAGCCTCTCTTAATAAGTTACTTGCTTCTTTATATGCTTTACCGCAAATCAAAGTGGCAAATGTAAATGATTTGCCATCTAATTTAATTAGATCACCGAATCCTTCATATTGGACGCGAATAATCTCAGAATTTGTGGCGTCATGTACCTCCTGTGATGTCATTTGTCAGTTTTTTGTTTCTTCACTTCTGAATACGACACCTTGAATTATGGGTTTATTTCTAATAATTTACAATTTACTAACAGTATTCTTTTTGGGGATACTGACATTCAACGTAAAAACGAGAATGTTTCGAAATAATAAAAATTTAATATAATATTAAGTCATTTTTAAATATTTCTGTCTCAACCCTGAATGTTTATTCCCCTAAAAAGAGATTGCCATAAGTCTATGGAAATTGACCATAAATAACTTAGAGCTATGGAATAAATTGATTTTAATGTATTTTTTTCTAGAAAATATCTTTTTTAGAGTGAAAATATAAATTGTTGGAATTTTCCTTACCATATTATTGTAATACAATATAGACAGATGCTTTATTCTACAACAAAAAAGCCAGAATCGATTTTTTGTCGAAATCTTAAATATAATAGGGTTGTTAGATTCCCGATGATAGGTGTCTTGGAAGATTTGCCTGGTGTCATCATAGTGTCTTTAAATCAAAAATTTTATTTTGGAGTTAGTTTTATTGATTTTTCAATAAAAAACATTTCTAAAACAAGAAAATGAAACGATAAAATATTTATATTTTATATAAGGATCTTATATATTTAAAATAAATATCATTTTATTTTTTTCATTGGTGTCTGTCAAACCATAATACACTATTCAAAAATTCAATGTGTCTTGCGGTTTCAAAAGACACCTTCAAATTGAACGATAGCACAGACACTATTGAATTTTACCCATTTTATTTAGTTTTTACCCTTTTTATTTTTAAGAATTAATGACTGAAACAGCCGTTTTGCTATGACCTCAATCACTTTTATTTATTATTTTAAATATTATTTAATTTTATTATTTGAATAGGCCAACTTATATTTGAGAAGCTCAATTTGAGACCACATAATACATTGAAATATCATAAATATTGAAATATTAAAAAGTGTATTTCAAAATATTGAAATTATAAAAATTTATAATACTGAAATTGAGACAAATGAATAAATTCAATGTGTTTTTTTTGAAATAACTCTCAATATTATTTTTTTGTTTATTTAATGATGAATAAATATGATTGCTTTAGTCAATCATAAAAACTAATTTAAGTTTAAAATAATGAAAGGATAATTTGATCGTTTTTTTAAAATACAATTATTTTTGATGATTTGCAAGAATCTTTGAAAAGAATATAATATAGGTTCTATTTTTGTAAAATTTATCCAAATCATGTATTACATAAATTACGATTAAAACGATGAAAGAACCAAAAAGTGTGTTTTGTGTTTTGTTGTTGCGTGTTGGATGCGGGATCCTGTTATTTCCGAAATCGACAAAAAATTTGGAAATTTAATTTCCGAAATCGAAATTATATTAATGTTTTTAATATTCTTATATCAAAAGGATTAAAGTTCATTAAGAGAAAAACAATTCTTCTTCTTCAATCTATTGGCGCATTTATTTCTACACGCCAATAAGGAAGGGAAAATTATAAGACACCATGGTGTCTTCAAAACGCTAATTTTTGATATTTTTAACAACCCTATAATATAATGAAACAATAAAATCTTAATTATATCCATTATGATTTGAATATTTAGAAGTATAACAAATGATAAAAATATTCATATGAAAATCAATGATGTATTCTATGTTTTTTAACTAGAAATGATATCAGTGAAGTCATGTGTCAGATTTTTGTTGACTCGACCTTTAAACTTGAAACGTCTCTTCTATCAAATTTGTAATACAATTTGACTCTACTGTCATCAAATATTGTTCCATCAATGTCTATATATTCATTTGATGCATATTCATCTTTTATCGGATTTATATGAATTATCATTGGATTAGAATTTGTTGTTGTATAAATAACTGAATATTCGCTGTCATGATTTTCACTTCTGCACCAAAAATATATACTATTTCTACTTGCATATCCTGGTAAAGTGATTTCAAACGTGTAATAGTCTGTACTGTAATTTTCATTGACGGGATATCGAATTGGAAGATAAATTGTTGACTCTGAGTTAATTCTATAGTAAAATTGAACGCTTTCGCCTGGATTGAAATCGCCTCCGAAACATGAAATATTAACTTTTGTATTACGCTCATACATATCATTACGTTTCGTGATCACAACTGCTTTCCTTGTTTGCTTGACTTCAAAATTATAATAAGCTTCAGGCGAAGTTGAATTTGAATCATCAATTGCCATAAACACTAAGTTATATTATTTATTTGTTGGCGGATATGAAAAATCATATGGAATCTCTTCCAATGTACCTTTGGATGTGAAGTTTAAGATATTATCAAATTCACCATCATTTACTTTCATGAATACTTTGACGTAGTCTCCATAATTTCTATCTCTCAGCTTCAAAATGAACTTGACTTTTTCATGATAGAAAAATATATTTTTGTGATTTAATACTGATAATTCTATCTCTGGTGCTCTCAGATTTTCATATGTGAAAGTGTGTTCAATAGGATATGAATCAACTCCTTCATATGAGCGAAGTACTATTGTAATTTTTTCTGACCTTGCAAGAAAATTTTGTCTTTTGTTGGAATTTGATATCTTAGAGTAAGGTTATCGTTGTTGTATTGCTTATACTCTCCAAGGTCATTCCATTCATTTTTCTCGTCGAACTTATATCTAATATAGGCAGATGTAGGACTCCATCCTTTGAATTCAAAATTAATTGCTTCGCCTATCGAATATTGAGGATCTAAAGGTTCGTATTCAAAAATTTTTGGTCTAGGATGAATCCATTTCCAATACGATTCTTTATTTGTTGAAATATTTCCACATTCGGCCCACAAATACATATATTTATATCCATTATAATACGGTGCTGTGAAATTAATTTCAAAATTAAGTGTATAATCTTCGCCCATTTGATAAATTGGAAAATCTGAAAATATATAATTATCAATACTAACATAAAGGTGAATGTCTTGATTTGGAATCAAATCATATATTATTCCTTTAATTCTAACTAGTTCTCCACAGATAAGTGTACTTGGTATTACATCTTGATATGATATTACTTTTTTAAGGGCAACTCTCATGGAATATGAATATTTCTTCGATTTAGCTCCTGATTCATCATAAGCTCTAAATGTACAAGTATGGTATCCATCTGATCTTGGTGGATAAAGATAAAAATATTGATGACGATTATATCCATTAGATGTGAAATTGAAGAAGAGTTGTGGTTCTTCATTATCTCACTGTATTGTGACATTGCATTTTTGATTTTTGTCTTGGTCTCCATAATTCATTGAGACTGTAAACTTCTCATAATAACCTAATGGTTCATATGGCTTTGAAAATGAACATTCCAAATATGGTGCCTTTCTGTCATCATATAGGAAATCAAATGTAATGTTTGTTTCAGATCGTGCTCCATATTCATCAATTAAAAATAATGTAACGTTGTGGTTTCCAACTGTCAATCTATATGCACTCAATGGAATTTGGTTTGTAACTATCAAATTGTTGCCATTGCAATAAATCAATTCATTTAATATATTTTCATTGCCATTGTCATATTGATAATACAGATATGTTCTTAAATCATCAGTAATATTAAGGTTCATCTCTATAAAACCATCAATTGAATAAACATCTTCAATACCAGTGATTTCATGTAAAATTGGAGGTGTATTAACTTTGATTGTAAAATAGGATGAATATGATTCGCGAGAATTATTTTTTGATCTTGCATATAAAGAATAAGAGTAACTTCCAGATATGTTTGGAATTGTTAGTTGAAAAGAAAATGTATTTGAGAGGTAATTATCATCCATTAACACAGTATCATTTATATCCGGATAATAATATTTACTGTCAATGTAATAAGAAATTTGTAGTTCGTGTTTCGGAGGAAAATTATATGCAAATGCTTCTATTGTTATTGTTGATCCTGGTGAATAAAATGGTTGAAATTGAGTTATTATTTTTGTTTCCAAGTAATCTGAGATTTCAATATATAGTCTTTTAATATCTGAATGAATTCCCTGGTCATTAGTTAGATAATAATTTATTTCATAACTTCTTTTCACATAAGGATACTTTACATATTGATGAAAGTAAATAGTAGATCCATTAGAGATATAATTATAAATTGGTGTGAAAAGCTGGTCCCCATAAACTTGATACCATAGTGTTATATTTTGCTCCTTCTTGGGTATTATATAATTTGATATTATATGTGTCATCTTGATAAAAATAATACTTTCTAGATGAAAATGGTAAATCTAATCTTGGTCTTTCAGTATTGATTCTTTCGATTTCAAATGTGAAAAATTCTGATGGATTGTAATCATCAAGTAAAAAGAAAGTTATATTGTGTTTTCCATAATCTACGTACTGAATGTAAACCGTTTTCGTCATGGTTAATTCTCTTCCACCATAATAATCAGTGGGTAAGTTATATTGCCTGCCGTCATCAAACCGATAGTATATATTTGCCCATCGTTCTGCATATCCTGTGAATGTTAACGCAAGTTCAGCATTTCTTGAATATTTTCCTGAAGGATCATTTAAAATTTGTAGACGCGGCTTGTCTCCAACATTAATTCTAAAATGAGCAAAGTTTTTCACAACAGCATCTTTTGTGATTGCCCAAACTGTCAGCCATTTTCCTGTTCTATCATTTGGAAAGTTAAATCGTAGAGTAAATTCAAGAGCAGTGACTTCATCACTCACTGTAAATTCAGATATTTTCTCTAAATTATTGCCATCATATATATAATAAAGTTTGATAAATTGACCGTTTTCATAACCATCACAATGTCCTCCGATCTCTACTTCTGATTCTTTTTCGTATGTATCTAATATATCGGAATCAATTGAAATCTTTGGAGAAATTTTTTCTTCAGGAATAAGAAAGGTCATATAAAATTTTAATGTCTCATCAACATCAATATTAATATTGTCCCAACGAATATATATGTCGTGATATTTTACAGAAGAAATCGGATTTAAATTACTGTAGCTAGATGATGAGGCTGTACTATGATAATAATAATTGGCATTACCATTATTCTCATCATTGAATAGAACTGTCATAGTTTCGTTTGTTGAAGGAGCTGAATACTTGTATCCTTGGAAATTTCCGAACTGTTCTACTTTTATATAATAATTATCTCCAAAATATGGATTAAAGCGAGTTTGAAGATATATTGTCTTGGAATTAGTTCCATTATTTTGAATCGTGAACTCAATTCGTAATTTATCTTCAGTTTCTTGGGTTATAATTGATGATGTGATCAAAATTCCGTTGTAAAAATCGCTTTTATTCGTTTTTCCGCTTATATATCTGGAACTTTGACTCCTAATATTCCAAACAGTCTGAAAATATCTTAAAAATACCTTTCCATTGTAAAAAAAGTTGCCGAAGTAATCATCATTTGTAACTGTATATGTGAAATTATTGGATAACGCAATTTTCAAGAATAGAAAGAGCATAAAATCTAGAGAAAAATAAAAATTAATGAATAGTTTACAATTTTTGATTATGGAAATTTTGAATTAACTTTTGAAAATGGGTTTTCAATTTAAAAATGAACAAAAAATATAAACTAGGTTAAGGAAGTCAATTTGGGAAATTGTTTTCACTTTAGGAGAATATAATTTTCAATTTGGAAAATTTAAAAAGTGAGACGCGCAGGATTCGAATTTTTTTAAAAGTTGATTTAAATGAATTTTAGTGTGGAATATAAGGATAATATCATATTTAAAATAAGAATATACTAGTTTAGGTGGTATTAATTTTTTCGATAAATTTGAGAGTATGTGCGTTTAGGGCATGAAAAGTGTCAATTCGCTCAGCGAAAGCTGAGCTAGCTTCGTTCTCGAAAGAATAAGGAAGGAGTGAAGGAGAATGATACAGAAGTTGACACATTCATATCATTTCAACAAATTTTGATCAAATTGAAATTCAATAAAATTCAATTCAATTCATATCCTTCAGTCAGTACATTGATATCCTTCTGCATCACAATGATAACTCGGGCATCAATAGTTCTACAACTAACTCAGAAAAAACAAGATTATTACTTCCTGCTTACAGCTTTTAAAAAGTTTCGATGATAAAAATCACTCTACTCTCGTTTATCGACATATGGTGATAGTAGGTAAACATATTCTTATCGATATTAATAAAAATATTTGTACGAAAATCTTATCCAATTAGAGAGTTATTCATAAAGTATATGATAATTATAATTACTTTATCTTTGTTTTATCTTTGAATAAACAATTTAATTTAAATTGCATAATATTTTTTGGTTGAAAGACAGGAAACTTAGTTGAGTTTGTATTATTTTTATCGTTTAATTCATCGTATCAGTGAGTGATCCAGATATTTAAGATTTTTAGAAAAAAAATTATTAATTTGATGAACAAATTTTAATCAAAATAGCAAAAATCTATTTGATAGCTGTAAACAAACAATAATTTTTATTTCAAGCAAAATCACTTATTTTCATCTAAACGTATAAAATTGTCAATTTTATGAAAATAAATTGAAAATCTCATGAAATGTAAAGGAGAGTAATATTTTTCAATTTTCTTTTTTTCTTTGTCTCAAATATTTTCTGTTGGGAATTTTCTTGTTATCAAAAAATAATTTTAATATTTGTTTATTTCATTACATACAATAAAATTTTAAAAACTCTATTTCTTCTCAAGAAAATTTTTTCCTTCATATGAAGAAACATTTTGTTCTCCATTTGATACTGAGTCTAAATCTCGATTTTTGAATTTTCTTCTTTCCAAATTTCTTTTTTCCAAATTAGAAGTTTAATTCAAATTTTCAATAGTTTATATATTTTCTCAAACCGTCTCAGATTTTCTCACTTTTTAGGGATTTTCTCTCAAAATATACAAAAATAGTAATATCAATACATGTGTCTAATATACTTTAAAACCATCGTGACAAAATTCAAAAACGAAAAGTTCTTCTCTCCAAATTTTTTTCAAAATCAAAAAAATGAGATAAAAAAGTACGTTTGGAAAATTCATTTTTAGCATTTTAGGAATTTTCTCACTTTTCTTCCAAATTGACATCCTTAACTAGGTGAGTTACAAGCAGAGCTGCTTTCTATAAGTATTTCATTCATAAATCCGCCGAGACCAGCCACAAATTAATTTCTCGAACATTCATCATTGGGATGTTTTGATGATGTTTTGATCATCCGTTATCTGTGAAATTTTATGAAGAATTATATGGAAATAATTGAAAGCTTTACAAAAAATGCAGATAAAAATTTAACAAACGTTGAAGGGCAAATCCCAAGTAACGATAACGTACTTCTTTAGGAGGTTGTATCTAGTTCAAATTGTATAAAAAATAGGCAAATTCCAAAATGAAGATTTTAATTATTATGTTAAAGCGTGTTTTTCCTACTATTCTCATTTTTATTTCCGTAAGGATTAAACATTTTCAAGGATATATCTAAATTAACTGTGTTTTCAAAAATGTTTTTAAAATCGTGGTTCTGTATAATATTGTCCGAATTACTAAGTCTGGATTCTGATTTTGTAATTTACATATACCAAATTTGGCCATCTTTATAATACAAATTTGGCCAAATGTAATTTATCAAAGCATCAGTAAAAAAGTGACGTTTTTTCAGTAAACTACATTTATTTTCCCTTTTCCTTAATTGAATCGAACATTCATACGGAACCAGACATATGTTATGCATGGAGACATCATCCAGCATCTTGGGTATGATGTAACTAAATATGTTGACAAGTATTGGCTCAAGATTTTTCACCAAAATTCACGTGTTTGCTTTTTCGCAAACAAAATTGAAGCTAATTACTCTGTTAACAACGATTGCTATTCTATTTTGCGTGAAATTGACTCTCGATTTAAAATTAATGAAAAATATACATTGTTGCTTGAATATCCCCAAATTATGCACTCCATTCGATGGACCCAAACATCGAATTTCTTTTATATCGCAAATGAAAGTCAAAACTTCGAATTAATTTCTAAGACTGCTGGAAACTGGAGTAGGTTTAAAGGCTTGCACTCATATCCTGCTAATTATGAATATTCGTTATATATTGGAGACTCTAATGGCAAAAACTGGTTCTATACCATTGGAGCTATCTATAATGAATTTGATGGCGTAATGCCTGGTAATGAGAACGAAATTTGGATTCAATATGTAGATTTGTGGTTGGAGATTGATAATCTTGACAAAATAAACTTGCTTCCTAAAATATTTAAAAAATGTTCATGTCAATGTCGAGTCAGCTCCTTTTATTCTTTTGCATACTATTACATTTTAATATTGTTTTATGACCAGTAAAAGCATAACATAAATATCCAAATTTTATACCTATTTGATTGATAATAACGTATGAAATCCATTTGATATAGTATAAATCCATGAGATATTCTTTGTGTAACTAAATTGAAGATGAAATAAAAAAAATCTTCAATTATTGATATGATAATGCGTAAAAACCTAATTAATACTAAAAATATGTGAAACAGAATAGGAATCCTTATTACAATCTTTTAATTTTTTCAATGTTTTTTATCTTTTATACGATCATCGGAAGAGATGCTCTCTTACTTTCGAATGGAAATGTCATTTCGAAAAATATGAGAGTTTCGCTATCTGATGATCCAAACAGTTGGTATTTCATGCGAATAAAAGATAAGAAACAAATTCCGGAACTCGAGAAAAAGTTAAATACCGAAATTAATACGGCAGAACTATTATCACCTAGATGGATAGCGATTCATCTTAATGAAAATCAAGTCAATACTGTTCAAAATGAGAAATTAGGAAAATTTTTTCCAGTTAGATCAATAGACAAAGTAGATAAAGACTTCAAATACGAAAAAGGTCTGAATACATATTACGTTTATGCAACAGAAACATTCAACGGCACATCAAATTCGAAAATAACGAAATTATATAAAAATAATTTTATAGTTGAAACATCGAATGTCAAAGAATTAGTTAATTCACCAGATGTTTTATTCGTTACAGAGCAACCTGCCATTCAATTCATGAACAGATGGTCACATAGTTATTTACAAACAAGAGACAGAAGAGTTTACTACAACAAATACGCAGAAGGCCGTAGAATAGAAGGTCTTGATGGCAGAAATACCATTGTTACACTTATAGATACAGGTGTTAACTCAAATCATTTATTTTTCAAAGACAAAAACCGAACATTTCCTTACAACAAAACAGATTTAGAACACAGAAAGATAGTTAGATACGATTCCACTATTGATTCCGTTGATTACTTGAACGGACATGGCACACACATTGCAGGAATCATTGCTGGATATGCAGAAGACGAAGACTCAGGTTTAAACCTTTACAGAGGCGGTGCTTACAAATCGAAATTGTTTGTTGTTGATATAAACAAAGATTCAAGTGCTAAAGAAGTCCTAATTCCTCTTAATTTAATTTTTTCTGCCGCAAACGAATCAAAGAAATTAAAATCTCATATCACTAGTTGCAGTTGGGGATCTAAAGATTCTAACAATGAATTAACATGGATAATGGATCAACTCAGTTACGAAATGGAAGATATCCTTTATGTTTTCGCAGCCGGAAATGAAGGGAAATTCAGAAAAGTTGGTTCTCCGGCTGATTCTAAGAATGTTCTAACTGTTGGATCGGCAAATCCTCATGCAGCAATTACAACAGAATCAGAAAGATATACTTTCATTAAATTGAAAGATCAAAACATTGAGTCTGTTTCTTCAAATTTGTTTAATTTCATGAAAAAAGTGACAAATTTGAAATCATATGAGAATATTTCAATGACAAATGATACTGATAATGCTTCAGGAAAAGTATTTTTAATGAAAGAGAAATCAGATAAAAAGTACACAGCTAAAGGTCGAGGAAAAATAACACATGACAGAAAAATTGATCCAGAACTTGATTATATTAAAGATACTGATTATATCATACGATATATTGAAGATGCAACAGTTCCAGACAAGAATGATGAATTTTATGATCTTGTAACTAATATTAATTCAAAACGAGGCCGCAAAATGAGAATAAAGAAATATTTGGATTTATTAGAAGAAGAAGATGAAGAAGAAAAATATATTCAACACTCTACAAAAAGTGACGTTCCAATTCCTAATGATGTATTAGCTGTTGTTACTGATAATCCTAATTATAAATCTGATAAATATCCTGTTCTTTTGGTTACTGATGCTGATCTTGAAAAATTAATATCGAATATGAATGAAAACATTTCATTAAGATTTGAATATGAAGATAACAAAGGAACTGAATTGTCTCCATTCACAACATTTGGTCCTTCACCTAAAGGAACAATTAAACCAGATGTTTATGGTATTGGTGAAAGAGTAATTTCAGCGGGAACAGCAGATGAAACGTCATTAAAACAAATGACTGGAACTTCAATGGCTGCTCCAACAATTTCGGCACTTTTGGCTTTAGTTCAACAGTATTTAATTGAAGATGGATGGGAAGATCATTACTCAGCCTTGTATAGGGCTTTCGCTTTGCAGACTAGTGGAAAAGGTCTTGAAAACGTTCTTCATAAAGGTTTGAGATATTTCACAGAAGAAATCGGAGAAAATGAAAATTTAAAGTTCAATGTAACTGTTGAAAAACCAGGAAGATTCGATTTAGCAGTTGCATGGAATGATCCAGGAATAATGCCAATATCAAAGAATGCTCCTTATTTTTTCGCTGATTTGGATGTGATCCTTGAAACTCCTGCAGGAAAGAAAATATATCCTTATCAATTAAATGATAGTTTTACAGTTGGAACAATGGAAAGAATCGCATTAAACTTGACAAATCCAGGAGTAATAACTATAAATATTATGACACATAAGTTCGTGTCATCAAAGATTAAAAAGATCAAATTCGCGGTTGTTATAAATGGTGAATTCAATAAAACTGATTATGTCAAAAATCCAAAGAAACCAATCATCGAAAAAGTACCAATTCCTGTTTGTCCAAGTCATTATACTTCACCTTTATGTAACAACAAAATTAATGATCTTAAACTTGATCAAACTTTTGTTACTAATATAACTGATCAACATTATTATTTCATGGTAAATTTGACAGAAAATGATGTCACCAAAAAATATCTGAAAATTGATGTCAAAGTTAATCTAAGAATTGTGTTTAGTGATGTATATTATCACCTTTCTTTTAGCAAGGAACATTCATATAAAATGAATCAAAACAATGATTACTTCGTTATCACAAACCAAAGAAACTTTTCTGTAACAGTGAAAGTGAAAGATTTCAAAGAAAAAGTTGTTTATTTCTCATTATATGAAGATATGTCATCGGCTGGAAATGCAACAATTAAAGTGTCGCAAATGTCTATTCCTGGTGAATTTGACTTTGATGATTGGATTCATATTCCTGGTATATATATTCCAAAGAACTTTTATGTTTTGATCTTAGTTTTGTCAGCTACTTTCTTCGTTTTGATATTCACATACGCCATTTACGAGAAACTTGTGGCATATCCTAGAAATGAGCCAGAAGCAATCAGAACAAGAAATAGAAATGATAATATACAAATTGATGTTTGAAATTAAAAATTTTAAATTTTTTATTACATTTTTTTAACAATCCAATATTTTATTCTAATCATTGCAGAATTTTCCACATGCAAAAAATAATATAAAGCAAGATCGCAACGATCAATTAAGAGATTCGCCGAATTATTAATTTCATTATCGCAAAAAAAAATTTATGAGGACAATATAATGGAAATGCTCAAACCCAGATTGCACAGCTATAATTTTCTGCTATTTTATCAAATGGCGGATATTGAAAGTGTGATCCATAATAATCGTCACGATCTAATATTTTAATTGAAAAAATAATTGAGAGCCAATTGAGAGATTGGAAATTCCAATATCGCAATATTTCCAATTGCGACGGTTTTTCCAATCGGGCGGTTTTTCCAATTACGACGGTTTTTCCAATTAATTGGAAATTCCAAATAAGTGGGTATATTTATAAATCCCCTGCTATTTATAAATAGGTCTATTTTACTTATAAGTTACCACAGAACACACCACGCTCGGCTACACTAATATTCTCATACCCAAACATGTCTGGTGCTTATAGTACTTCATTTGATCACAAAGCTGGAATTTCATTCAAATATTCCCCTGTTAAAATTGCAAAGAATGCAGATGATAAGGCAATTCAGTTCAATATTTACATTTTGAACAATGGAACCTGTGATGCCTCTTTTCTTACAATTGGAAATATTCAAGTCGATATAAATCCTAACTCTCAATCAGATATATGCATTTTCTCTCATAACATGCCAAAGAAAGTTGATCACCAAAGTTCATCCAATGATGTCACAATGTTCGCAGTTAAATATCCTGATTCCTTGGATTATTCAAGTGTAATCACAGATTTTAATGGTCCGGCAGCTCTTATCGCAAAGTTTACATCTAGATCTAGTGTCAGATTTAACATTTATGATTCTACTGATCCAGATATGATAAATAACTGCGAAAGCCAGTCATTCAAGATAATAGATGAAAACAGATTGATTGAACAAAACTATTCTGGATCTATTAATTCAAATTGCCAACATAATCCAAAAGATAATATAAACTTTATTATTTTCTGGACAAGCGTCGGATTTGTAGTCGTAATTATTATAACAGTTACTATTATATGTCGGCGCTACCGAAAACAGAAACCACAAAATACAGAATCGATGCTCTCAGCTGAACCTCCACAAAAATATACCAATTATCCACAATATATTCCACCAATAAGTGAGGTGCAAAACCAATATTATGGAAAGCCTACATTGAATGATCTACAAAACTTCAACATGAAATATACAACTCAACCAGTGATAGATCAAGATCCAACGCCTAATCCATATTCGAATGCAAATATTGTTTATTAAACACTTTCTTTTTGTTTTTATAGTTAAATTATTTTTTGATATTTAAAAATCAATGTTAGAGAGTGGTTTACGTCCACATTTCAATACTTGATTATCCATCTATCTAATATTTCCTAGTTTAAAGCTGTTCAATCCACAACATAATTTGATGTGTTTCAAACAACTGCAAAACTTCGATGGTTAAATATCTGGCTATATGTCAATATCTTTACTACTATACATGAATGAAAATTTGCACAAGATTAAAAAATATAAACAAAAAATATGGACAAAACTTTCATTTTGGATTGTTTCCTGATGTAAATGTTAGAAGACTTAACCATTTTAAAATTCATGATTAGAGACGATAGGCACTATTTGGTCTGTTTTTTGACCTTAAAATGGAACATAGAAATTCATCAGATTTTGAACCTAAAGTCTATCAAGCAATTGATGAAGTCACTTATCCATCGTATTTGCACAGCTCAATTAAAGTTGAAAATATGATTTGGGTAATTACCAAAGAAAATTTAGAGTCAACCGCGAAAATATTAGTTGAAAGTACAAAAAAATCACATATTAGCCAGAAATTTATTCAATTTACTATAGATGCAGCAACAAAACGTTATGATTTGTTGGAAGCTTTAAAATTACTTATCAATGTTAATAAATACAATGTAAACGTCAAGAATATAGATCAATTAATAAATTCTCAGAACGAAAACTATTCAATTTTTATCAATGATGATATTGAGAAATATCAAACTCATTGTTATGATAAAAATAGCAAATATAGCTTATCTATTTCGGCGAATATTTACAATGCTGCTGCTTTTGGAGCTATAAATATCTTTAAATTTTTAATTATGAATCAAGTTTCATTTGAAAATCAATCAATTGCGAAGAAATCCGTCGTTGGCGGTAATTTCGAACTTATTAAAACACTTGTCAATAAAGGAGTTGAATTCAAAGATACTTTAGTAGAAGCATTAAAATATCACAGAAATGATGTTGCTGATTGGATAATTTCTAATTACGGATGCTCGCATATTAAGCCATATCACTGTATAAAGTGGGGAAATATGGCTGCTGTAATTTTTTACATAGAAAATGGAATGAAAATTGATAATCACTTACTAGATCATGTTGCTGTGAATTTCTGCATGCCTATGGTTGATTATTTAATTACTAAAAAGGCAAATTTCGCTACCGATTCTGTAGTTGAAGAGGCTGTAAAAGTAAATAATTATCATTTGCTAAAAATGATATTTGAATCCGGATATAAGCCCCCTCAAAAGCTTTTAAATCATCAATTGATTGTTGCATGCCAGCACGGATACTTAGAAGCTTCGAAAATTTTAATTCATTCAGGTGCAGACGTAAATAGCAACACAAGCTCTGTGGGAACCATGGCAGGAACACCATTATATTATGCAAATTTATCAAACAACAAAGAATTGCCAAAATACTTGATTGATAAAGGAGCAATGAGATGAAATGATTTTTTTGTGATTTATTTTATGTATTTGTATTAATATTATAAATATCCATGTTATTTAATTTAATTTTTGAACTTTAACTTGGTAACATTCGGTCATTTGATCAAGAAAATTATCTATTTCAGATTGTATAAAAGAAAACTCAAAATTAATAGGCTCTTTTAGATAAGAAAAGAGTTTTTATCATTTGTATAAGCTTATAATTTAAAAATAACATGATTTGTGGGGATTGATGAAATTCGATTAAAATAATCATGGTAATTTTGATTAATCATGAGACTACCGATTCTATTTTATTAGAGTATCAAGAAATATCTAATATCAGGCCATCTATAAAGTACATTTTTTTCCTTGAAATGTGAAACATTTGATATTTCCAAATAAACATGAAACTCTAGTTTTACATTGTATCTAGAATATAGGAACTACATTAATTGTTTTTAAATGTTTATTTTTTGAGACAATTTGCTGCCATTCCTCAATTTGATTATATATTATAAATTTTTATTTACTATTATATATTCTAATTATAGATCCATTATTTAATTAGAGTCTGATTGAAGATTTCAATGAGGATTCTGAAAAATAATCCTTGTCGTCTGACCATTTTTAATTAATTTTGCTCTATGTTATTATTAGAACAATGATACCGTTTTTAAAAAATTGATAGGAAAAAATTCAATTGAAAAACATTTATATTTTCCATTCAATTAAAAAATTCAGTGAATGGTCAATTAATGAAATGTATACTATTTTTATTTAATAAATAAATATTAAATTTTGGAAATTGTAAATAAATATTGTAATGGATATATATGCTATAAAGATCATTAGTATTTGATTATGTGAATTCATAATGCATTGAAAATTTTTTCAATACTTTCATCAATTGAGAACAATAGTCATCAAATTATTTATCGTCAAATGACCTTGATACTTGAAGCTTTTCGTAACTATTTAATGGACAAAGACGATGTTTTCTCAGCAATTGGCACTGAACTTCAGCCCATCCCTTATTTCAATGAAGTTGATTTGGCCAAACTCCTGTATGGTGCAAAAGCAATTATTTCAAAAGAAAACTCTTTGCTTAAATTGGATGGCCGTTTCTGTGTAATTGGTGACATACATGGAAACTTGCAGGATCTCCTTCAAATCTTGGCGAATCAAGGAATGCCCCCAATGACTCAATATCTGTTTTTAGGAGATTATAGCGGATCAGGTTCAAACTCGGTAGAAGTAATCGCCTTGTTACTTGCTCTTAAGGTGTGCTTCCCGAAATACGTATATTTGTTGAAAGGTCATGAGGAATGTATTTGTAACAACAATAATTCCACTTTCTTCCAGGAGGTAGTATCAGAATATTCAGAAGGTCTCTGGGATCTATTTGTTGAAACGTTTGAGCAGCTTCCATTAGCTGCAATTATTTCTAACTCAACATTTTGTGTCCATGGTGGTATAGGTCCAAATATCACCTCATTAGAAGCAATTTCATCCATTAAACGTCCAGCTATTAACTCTGATATCGTTTCAACTTTAATTTGGAGCGAACCAACTGAGGTTACAAGAGAATATATGGCGCTCCCAGAATTTGGTAGCTATCTATATGGCGTTGATGCGATTCAAAAATTCTTAAGGCAACACAAACTCCAAAGAATTGTAAGATCTCATGAATTTGCAGAGCAAGGCATTAAACGCTTCCATGGTGCTAACTTATATTCTGTATTCTCATCTTCCTGCTATGGAAATACTAATAATATAAGTGGCTGTCTCCTGATTCATGATCGAATGATAGAAGGTTTTACTTATGAGCCAATTGAAAAACTTCCTAGAAATCAGGAGTCATACACCAATGTAGAAAACACTTTCTTTAGACGTGTTGTTGAATCAGATAAAAATGTCAAATGTCGTATCAGAATAGCTAACTCTATGTCATATCAAAGTCTTAGCCCAAGTGGATCTAATCTTCCTCCACTCAGAAGATCGACAAGTTTGCTTAATTAAGATGATATTTTATTTTGTTTTTCTCTTCTGTTTGTTTTATTTATCTAAACATGACTTTTACCGAAATAAGTTTCTCTCATCTCTAACTCTCATGTCTAGCCAAATTATGGTTGAGGATGAAAAAAAATTGAAAATATGGCAGAGAAAAAAACTATCAGAAATTTTTCGATTAATTACTAACTTATACTTTATGTACTCGATTTTTTACGATGAAGTCTTGATTTAATTTGTCAAATTTCGTTTCAAAAAAACTAACTCCGTGTAATAATTTTTCTAACAGTTTGTTATGAATAATAAATCATATCTTATCGTAAATTTTGAATATGAATTTTGAGAAGCATCAGAAATCATTTCGAAAATAATCGTTAAATGATTGAAAATACACCTCGAATGATACACGCCCAAGAAGGGGATAATTTATACTCAATTGCCTTAAAGTATAATACATCCCCATCATATCTTCAAGTGATTAATAACATATATCCGCCTTTAATCACAAAAGGTACTGATATTCTTTTAGGTTCAGTTGAAGACGTTGCAAATGCTCATCATTCATTCTACGTAGTCTTTACATCTAACAATATTGAGTATCCTGGTACTATTACAGTTCTCCCAGACTCGTTCGTTTTTGAGCAGAGGCAAATGTCGCTCACTTCACCTAAGCTTGTTTACCCAATAAACATCGTTAGTATCGTCCAATCATCCCTATTCCCACATCCGTCTATAAATTCAAGGAGTTACAATGATCCTGCTCAGCCAGCGATTTTAATTATTTGTTTTCTCGCTGATCCTTTCAATCAAAAGAATGTCGAAGTTGCTACATTTGAAGGCCCAAGAGCCGAGCTAGATGCGTTATACATTTTAATACAATCAAGAGCCAAAAATCGTCAATCTAAAATTAAATTCAATATTACAGAACATGCACAACATGCTGCTGAACTTAAGACCATTGATTCTCTAGAGGAGCATAATAAGCCAGCTTATCTCAGATCCAAAGCTGTAATCAGAGCCCAACAAGTTATTTTCGGAGAATCTAAGATTTTAGATATGGTCGATATATTTTCAATACGTAGAGAACTTCCGTACAGATTTCGTGCTCTGGCATGGACAAAAATTTTCGGCGTCAAAAATTTTCTCACTGGGTTTTCGTCTATCAATCCCAGCTCATTATATACGCAACCAATCAAAAATCTGATATGGGAGTCCAAGGCTAACTTTTTGTTGTCTACCTAATAAAAGAGGAAGCAGCATTAGTGAGAATAATCGCAAATATTCAATTTAAATTATCTTTTTATTCTTAATTTAAAGTGACAAAAAGAATAAAAAACCTATTCTAAGGCATGTTGTTATGTAAATGAGACTAGACATCATATTTTATGTTATGAAAAAAAAATATTTAGAATTTTAGAACAAAATAAATAGAAAAAATAGCATAACTTATGGATGTGCGTATATTAAATTTAATAAATTAAGAGAAATTATTTTTGGCGCCAAAATTATTCGTTAACTCTCAAATTTTTCTGAGTCAATAAGCCGCCAAAAAAGTGTCATTTCTTTATAGGAAAGGAAACCTATTTGACGAACAATCCGGACACTAATGCCTCAGCGAATTTCCCCAAACCCACCAATCCCCTCCCTGCTGTTGTGCACCATCGATGGAAAGTAAGTCATCAATAGTCTCTTTTCCTTGGACTTGAAATGTAAATCTCGGACGAAAGTAAGTCTGACTTGAAATGTAAGTCTCGGACGAAAGTAAGTCTGACTTGAAATGTAAGTCTCGGACGAAAGTAAGTCTGACTTGAAATGTAAGTCTCGGACGAAAGTAAGTCTGACTTGAAATGTAAGTCTCGGACGAAAGTAAGTCTGACTTGAAATGTAAGTCTCGGACGAAAGTAAGTCTGACTTGAAATGTAAGTCTCGGACGAAAGTAAGTCTGACTTGAAATGTAAGTCTCGGACGAAAGTAAGTCTGACTTGAAATGTAAGTCTCGGACGAAAGTAAGTCTGACTTGAAATGTAAGTCTCGGACGAAAGTAAGTCTGACTTGAAATGTAAGTCTCGGACGAAAGTAAGTCTGACTTGAAATGTAAGTCTCGGACGAAAGTAAGTCTGACTTGAAATGTAAGTCTCGGACGAAAGTAAGTCTGACTTGAAATGTAAGTTTCGGACGAAAGTAAGTCTGACTTGAAATGGAAGTCTGACTTGAAATGTAAGTTTCGGACGAAAGTAAGTCTGACTTGAAATGTAAGTTTCGGACGAAAGTAAGTCTGACTTGAAATGTAAGTTTCGGACGAAAGTAAGTCTGACTTGAAATGTAAGTCTCGGACGAAAGTAAGTCTGACTTGAAATGTAAGTCTGATTCTAAATGTAAGTTCTAGACTAAAGTAAGTCTGATTCTAAATATAAGTCTGATATTAAGATAAGTTTGTAACTAAAATTAAGTCTTATTCCAAAAGCAAATTTAATTGTATAATAAGTCTGGATCTAGAGTAAGCCTTAGTCTACAGCTATTCTGTGTCAAAAATAAGTCACGAACCATAGTAAGTTTCGGACTAGAGTATGTCTGTAATTCGAATCATTCATATTCTTCAATTATCCCGCCAAAAAAATTATCGTCTTTTTATCATACCATAGTTTTTATCAATCTCGTTCTACTAAAAAACCTTTATATTGGTGATTTCTTTGTTAAACCTGTATTTTTTCATGTGAATCTTATTGTATAAACTCTAAAAGTTCAATTTCCGGTCGAAAAAAACTTGAAAACAATTTGTATTCGACGAGTTAAAGAGCTCTATTTATTCTAAATTTTCCAAAAAAATTAGATTTCGTTTTTTCGCTTCAAAAAATAGTTAGTATCCCTAAGTCGTGTACTGAGGCACTGCGCGCCTCCATACACCACTTAGCTGTTTTGACACTTTACAAAACCATTAACGTATATTTTACAACACAAACGACAACACTAACTTAACATTAAATATTTACAAAGCCGCCAACCACTTCACTTCACTAACGTTTTCACAAACGACTTCACTAATGTAAAAAATAAACGTTCTCACTTACAAAAGTATTGCAACTCCTCCCATTGCTGTGCTTCACATAACAGCTCATAATCTTCTGACTCACTTTCTTCTTCATATAGGTCAAAATCACTGTCAAAATAAATGTTAGTAAGTTTTGACAAAGCTAATGAAACACGTTTACCGTTTGTATCGTATGCTTGTATAAACTTTCCATTCTTCATTCCTTCATAAACGCTCAAACTAACTTTACCCTTTCTCCCTCGTATCTGATAGAATGTATTTTCACGAGGAACGAAGAACAAATTCTTGAACTCATGACCGTTGTAGTTTGTTATCTCAATAGTTTTCGTCATTTATATAAAAATAAACGTTCTCGCTAAATAATAAAATAAACTTAAAAATAAACGTTGTCAGAGGTGAAAAAATAAATTTAGGTGAAGTGGTGAAATCTCACCTCTTTTTTCACCTCTTTTTTCACCCTAGCCGCAAAGCGGCTCTGACCCTTTGGGTCTGTTGAATTCATTACTTTATAACTCTCTTCCTTGGTTTCTTTTTAGTTGCTTTCTTCACGTCTGTCTCCAACTTGACTGTCTTTCTTCTTCGTCCGTAATGATACCAATTACTTCCACCAGTCAATGGGTCAAATGGTCTTTCGTAAGGGTTTCCATACATTCCATAGGGACCATACGGAAGAACTACTGGTGGAGAAGAAACATTTTCTTTAGTTCCATCGACTCTATTTAAATGCATTGTTTCACCTTTCATCTGGTCATTAAAGTCTTTTGCGTGTTTTGCAAACTCATCGTCCTTTCCTAAAGCATTTTCTGACTCAGTCGCAACCAAATTGGATGCTTTATTTATGAGCCCTATTTTATTTAATCTTAACTTCTTTGCAACCCAGCCTCCAATCTTTCCTTTATTTGCATCTAATGTCTTCGAAACCCTTCCTCCACTCATTTTATTTACTGCGTCATAAGCTCCAAGTGCTTTTGCTCCAAATGCTAATGCTTTTGTTCCCATTGCGCCTAAAGCTGCCCAAGCTACCATTTACCCCATATTAAAATCATCTCTCTTCAATATTATCTCATAAAAGTTCTCGTTACTGGAGAAAGTCAATGAAACATAAGCGTTCTCACGGGCTTCGTCCTCACCGCTTTGCGGTCTATCTAACTTCTTTCTTATATCATCTATACGCTTCAAAATATCTGAACAATTGCTAACATCTTCTACAACAGTTATTTCATCATGAATGACCTTCAAGAACAAGCTCATTTAATATGCTATTAAAATCATCTCAATAATGAGTCCATCCTTTCCATCTTTAGGTAGCACAACATCTTTCATTGAAGAAGGTTCGACAAGTCTTATGTTAAACTTACTGACAAAGTTTGTTATACTATAATGCTTTGGCGGCGAATACATGTAGTTTGAAAGACATAATATAGATTCTTCAGCAAATTCACTTATACTGGATTTTATAACAATGTTCTCACGAGACCAAATACCACCAATTGACAATCTTGTAAGCAATCCTGCTGAACCTTCAACTGTAAACGTCGATGGTAACATTCCACGAAGGTCATCTATTGACATCTTTGAGTCACTGAATTTAAATATTTTCTTAAAGCAATCGTCATTATCTAACCATGCAATAGCTTTGAAGTTTTCATTCGAATATACATCTGCTTCATTAAATGTAAAACCTGACTTCTTTGCAGAGATGACTTTAAAATCTATTGAGTTTGTTTCAAAATTATATGCTATGCTAACTTCTGAAGGTAATGGATGTCCTTCCGCAGTCAGTTGTTCTCTCACTACCGTTTGAAGCTTTGTGTTAAAAACTTTCATGTCATCTCCTGTGTCTAGGTTCACATACACAGCAACAGGAAAACTATCTTGCTTCTTTGTTTCATCATTATACCTCAAAACATTAAAGTTCTTCAATAATATTGTTCTTCCTGCTGGAATACTTCGAACCTGTCTGATTTCAATAGCTTTCTCACCTCCTACATACTCTACCCAGTGCCTTGGATATTCATAAGTATACTGACTTTCTTGAATTTTGGTAGGTTTCATCATAACGTGTTCATAGTATATCTTTATACTCTTGTCAGTTAGACTCGGTGCTATGTTCTGAATATTTCTGACTTGCATTTTTAATGGAGATAAAATGAAGCATTTAATACATGACGTAGATGAAGACATGAATGAAACTACAGACAAACTTAACTCTTCTCTCATTCTTCCTTTCAGTAAGGACTATGAGTTCTGTTCAAATGGCGTTTATTTCTATTGTGGAAAGATGGGTTCAGGTAAGACATTTAATTTAATTCGTCATATACTCATAACAGAACGTTTAGGAAATGACTCATATTATGACCAAATCATTATATCAGCAACTTCAGACTCTATGGACTCAACAGCGAAAACATTTATGTCAAAAGTTCAAGCCTCTGTCGTTAAAGTTCCAGACAGTGAACTCATTGAATTTCTTCAACGTTACATTCGACGTAAGAGAAAATATTATGCTATTGTAGAGTTCATACAGTCAGGAATGCAAAAGACTTCAGAAGAGATGGAAAGAATTATTGACAAACACCACTTACGTCAATACTCAGGAGTTTACGATATGAAACGACTGACAAACTACATTCTGTCAAAACTTTCAAAATACCCCTTCAAAAAGTATCCTTCAAATACTCTGCTCGTTTGTGACGACTTCGCCGGAAAAGGTTTAGTGTCAAAAGCAGACTCACCATTAGCTAACATCATAACTAAAGTCAGACATTACCATTTAACTGTAGCAATACTTATGCAAACATGGCGTTTCCTTGCTTTAAACATAAAACGTCTCATAACTGACTTCGTTATCTTTCAAGGTTTCTCACGTTATGATATTGAACTCATTTGGAAACAGTCAGGTATAACATTACCTTTTGAAGAAATTTGGGAAGCATATAAGTCTCTCATCTCTCCTCGTTCATACCTTGAGATTCATATCATGACTAATACCATTAAAGTCAAAAATATTCCATGGGAACGACCAACATTGTTTTAAAGTTTAACCTTCAATTGACTGATGGTAAACAAATTCCATGCATCTCTGTCGCCATTTCTGTTAATATTTTTGCTGTCATTCATATCATCCACTTCCCCATCCGTTAACTTTTGAGGATATGCGTTAGAATAGCTGTTCTTAAATGAAGGCTTTTCA